TTTTTTTATTATATTTTTGTTTTTGTGACAAATATTAAGACATTTCATAAAAATTAAGAATATGTCAAAATGACATTGACATTTCAAACCGGAAGTTGCTTATATCTCGAGTAATATTGGAATTAAACGTATCATGTTTGGACTCATTTTAAAGGATTTTTCACGACGATTACAAATATGTCAAAATTGACGTTGACATTTGTAACCGAAAGTTGACCATAACTTCATTAATATTGAAGATAAATATGTCGTGTTTGTACTCATTTTAAAGGATTTTTAATGAAGATTACAAATATGTCAAAATTATAATATAATAATAATACATAATAGCGACATTAAGAAAAATTGCAAGAAATAGTAGGTTTTATAAAATCGCAATTAAAAATGATTGTTGTAACTTGAAACTCGTTACTTTATTTAGTATCAAAACGACAAAAAATCCAATTAACATTATTTTAACGATCATTTTTTTCATTTAAAAAGGTTCATATAAACACGAAAGTTTTTACTGCAATTTTAATATTTTATACACAATATGACCGTAAACTATATTGTACTATGTTTATTAGTATTTTTAAGTCCAATTTATATTTTCATTGATGCGGCAGAAGAAAGATACTACAAGATATCACCAATTAAGCACTTTGACGTCGAAAGAGTAAGTATCAAAAAAATCTTTTGTATTACATATTTTTAAACTTGTTTAAATCATCTTATTTTAGATAACTGGTATGCTCAACAACTTGGTGATTTAGATGGCGATGAAAGCTCAAGGAAATGTTTGATGTACAGCTTTGTTTCTAATAAAAATAAATCTGGTGTAACTCTAACTGTATTTAGAATCTACAACGTAACCGGTTTTGTTGCCAAAGTTGAAATGTTCAAAATACATCAAGTAAAAAATTGTGATAATGAATATAAAGTCGATTGGAAAGAGGGAGAGAAAGGTGAAAGCGGTTGGACAGAAAAAAGAATCCAAATAAAGCAGCACTTGAGGCAGCACAAAATGCGGCTAGAAAAGTAGGATTTAAAATGACAAAACCTTATTTGAAAGAAATCGATCATTCGCGATGTTTTAATTAAATTTTAACCCTTTAATTTACTATTTCAATTGGTAATGAATTAAGAGAACAGAAACTAATGAACTATTTTGATTACGTTGGTTCAAAAATTAGATTTCTTAAAAAAAAGTTACAATTTGCAAATGGTAAATACAAAATATCTAATTTTAAATTTGTTCAATAAACACCTCCTCTGAATTCCACTCATTCAAGACAATTTCATAACACTGTCACTTCAATATATAGACTTTATAAGGTATAAATATATATCCTGTTATTTTAAATTATTAATAATAAAGAAATCATATAAATACTGAACTAAAACTAATTCAACAACAGTTTTAATATTCTATATCACAGCTGTACAGTTTCAATATCTAAACATGAAGAAAATACATAGAGTGCAAAATGTTAATTGTTGGCGAAACGGGCGTTGAAAAATCAATGTCTTTTACATTATTATTTATACACGACCATCACTATTTTGGCAATACGCTCGTTCCTACATCTACCATAATGAATCTTGTAATTGTCTACAAGGGCAGTATAAAAGAAAGCTCTTTCTTTTTAATTGTAAAAAATCGCCCTCAACATTTGAAGTAAGCCCTCATCATATGACAGCAATGTAAACTGTTGTTGTAATAAAATATACATGAAGAATAGTTTTAGTTGTTAACTAGCACTAGATCTAGTTTTATCTCTAGTTATAGGTATTATTCAGCATTAATTGTTATATAATTTTATTGGACTAAAACTAGACCTAGAAGTATAAAGTATCGGGGTTTTGCATCTTCAGCTCAAGTTGTGCACCTGTTCTGGGATCTAACAGTCCTCTTAGACTATATTGTCCTTAAAAAAATTAATAAAGGAAATAAATGATGGTAGGCAACCAATGTTACATTAAAAATTGATTCAATTAAATCAAGTTTATATTTATAATAAGAATATAATAGCTATAATAATAATAATACAATTAATTATTGCTTCTTAAATCTTTTCTTTTTTTCTTGAAAACGTATTAACTAAATTGGTAATAATTGTAATTAATAATAATAAAATTGGTGGAAGACGAAGTACGCAAAAAGAAAAAAAAGTAAAACTTTTTTGGCACAAAACTTGTTTTTTTTTTCTCTAACAAGAGTATTTTTTTCTAGGCATTCAACTTGTATTGCTATACGTTATTTTTTCGAAACGTTTTATCTCATAAAAACAATAAAAGACATCTAAATATAAATCAAAAATTATAATGATTGTTTCATTTCACCGTTTTTTTTCTCGTTTTCTTATTCATTTTTTTAAATTCTTTTCACAACACGCACACGATAGGAAGAGCCTTTTTTTATTTATCACGGGTGATAGAAAAAATATATCATTATTTTTTATTTATACTTTTTTTTTTGTTAGAAATAGAATTGTACGCGCGCAACAACACCGTTATGATTTTTATTTTTTACAACTTTTTTTTTTCTCGTTCTCCAAGTCAATTTTTTTTTTGTTTTCGCAAAAATTATTGCTCATCGTTTTAGAATAAAATTCAAAGTCGAAGAATAATTAAAAAGTATAACACCCTACACGATAATCAATCAATTATCACTAAAAACTACACGATAACGAGGTAATGTTAAACCAAAAATGAACATTTAAATCTATTTAAACGGGACAACTTATTTAGATCGCTTTTAAGCGCCCCTTTTTTTATATTATTATTTCTTTATGACTCAAATTGACTACATTATGTTTATTATATTTATATTTGGTTGTTATAATTGAAAATAGTTTTTTTTTCGCAACTTTTTTTATATCGATTTATTTTTTAAAAAAATTGAATTGATAAGACTAATTCATTAAATTCTTTGTTTCGATCAAGAATTTTAAAAGTCTTATCGATTCCGAGTTATTTTTTTATTTAATCTTTATTAAAATAATAACCGTTCCCCTTTTTTTGTCTTAAAAATACTAAAATAAATAAACTTTTCTTCACCGCCCTCAATTACATTTTTATAAAATAAGATTTCCACAAAAACTTATAATTTTTTTTGCAATTAAGTAGAATATGTTTATATATGTTATATTGCACGGTAGTTTAAAATAATTAAAAAAAAGACTCAGTATTCTGTAAGTATTGGTAACTATGGAATGAATTAATAAACTTTTTTAAGCATGGAAGGATCTGGGAGTATTCTAAAAGATGTTATTGGAAGGTGATGTTAATGATTAACCAAACATGGATAACGTATGCCCTTCTCTAACACTAAAGCACCATTATAATTGGACACGTTTATTTACAAACTTCGTTATTATCTTTATCCATTTATGTTCTTAAGAATCCCCTAAGAACTCACTCCGCAAAACCATGAATTCTTTTTATAAATAATTTTCGTTCTCAAAATGTTTATTGGACGGCGTAAATGTATAATTAAAAGTGTGTTGACGAAGTAGTGGCTTTTAGAAGAAGTGTGGTAAATAGAGTTTTATCAAGTTGAGACTCCAATACTGAAAAATCATATGTAAGTGAAGACCTTGATGAGATGTGGGAAGAACTTGCTATACACGAAGAAGAGAAACTGAATTTTGTTGATCTGGCTGCTGATGGATTCGCCGCCTGATATTAGTCACCTAAATATGGTGTTAACAAAAATAAACATTGTTATCTAATTATAAAAGAAATGAACTTATCGCACTTTATATCTCAAGAGTCTAGCATCTTAAAAACAGAATTCTTTAAATGAGAAGAACGGTGCTTTTAATAGTTTTCAGGTTAATAGAACCCAAGTAATTTTATATACTTGGGTTGCATTGATAACACAAGTTTACAAATTCCGATAAACTTTTGGACCTGAATCATCAATCTGTTTGTCAAGGTTGGTTCTGGATTTTGAGTTCTTTAAAAAAAATAACGAAGAAGTGGTCACTTCGTTGACATTTTCATTGCAGAATGCTATAGAGAGAACCATAAAATCTTGTAGATGATTGCTACTTTTAGAAATAGTCCCATCACCAGTTCGTCCAACTTGATCTCCTTCAACCAGTGATTTCGTCATGGAAGGAAATCATTATATGGATAATAACGCAAAGTGAACAGATTGATTTGATCTGCTTGTAGAAATATACAAGTGCATACAGTGGAATATGAGTCACTGTATGCAGGAAAAGAAACGAAACGCTTCAGCAATTGTTCAAAAAAGATACATTTTCTGCATTCCTATCTTGATTTTTTCCCTGAAACTTATGCGATACAAGCGATGAGCAAGGAGAGCGATTTTAGGATGATGAACGACTATTGTTGGACTTTAATACAACATACATTTTGTGTTTCTTATTTCTTGCAAATGGTATCTTTTCCGATTACTAATCTGGCACATTAAATTAATAAGAAATTTGTATATTTTATTTTGTAATTAACCTTGTAGGGGAAATATTTGCAAAATTTGACCAACCAGTGTTTTTGTCATGGAAGGAAACCATGATATGGATAATAACGCAAAGTGAACAGATTGATTTGACCTGCTTGTAGAAACAAGAAGTTGAAACATAGTTGCAGAAGTGGAATATGAGTCACTGTATGCAGGAAAAGAAACGAAACGCTTCAGCAATTGTTCAAAAAAGATACATTTTCTGCATTCCCATCTTGATTTTTTCCCTAAAACTTATGCCATACAAGCGATGAGCAAGGAGAGCGGTTTTAGGATGATTAGTAAGAAATTTGTATATTTTATTTTATAATTAACTTTGTAAGGGAAATATTTGCAAAATTTGGGTGTCAGGCCCCACTTGGGTTAACATTTAATGATTCTTCATATGCGTGATATANAAAAATTAATAAAGGAAATAAATGATGGTAGGCAACCAATGTTACATTAAAAATTGATTCAATTAAATCAAGTTTATATTTATAATAAGAATATAATAGCTATAATAATAATAATACAATTAATTATTGCTTCTTAAATCTTTTCTTTTTTTCTTGAAAACGTATTAACTAAATTGGTAATAATTGTAATTAATAATAATAAAATTGGTGGAAGACGAAGTACGCAAAAAGAAAAAAAAGTAAAACTTTTTTGGCACAAAACTTGTTTTTTTTTTCTCTAACAAGAGTATTTTTTTCTAGGCATTCAACTTGTATTGCTATACGTTATTTTTTCGAAACGTTTTATCTCATAAAAACAATAAAAGACATCTAAATATAAATCAAAAATTATAATGATTGTTTCATTTCACCGTTTTTTTTCTCGTTTTCTTATTCATTTTTTTTAATTCTTTTCACAACACGCACACGATAGGAAGAGCCTTTTTTTATTTATCACGGGTGATAGAAAAAATATATCATTATTTTTTATTTATACTTTTTTTTTTGTTAGAAATAGAATTGTACGCGCGCAACAACACCGTTATGATTTTTATTTTTTACAACTTTTTTTTTTCTCGTTCTCCAAGTCAATTTTTTTTTTGTTTTCGCAAAAATTATTGCTCATCGTTTTAGAATAAAATTCAAAGTCGAAGAATAATTAAAAAGTATAACACCCTACACGATAATCAATCAATTATCACTAAAAACTACACGATAACGAGGTAATGTTAAACCAAAAATGAACATTTAAATCTATTTAAACGGGACAACTTATTTAGATCGCTTTTAAGCGCCCCTTTTTTTATATTATTATTTCTTTATGACTCAAATTGACTACATTATGTTTATTATATTTATATTTGGTTGTTATAATTGAAAATAGTTTTTTTTTCGCAACTTTTTTATATCGATTTATTTTTTAAAAAAATTGAATTGATAAGACTAATTCATTAAATTCTTTGTTTCGATCAAGAATTTTAAAAGTCTTATCGATTCCGAGTTATTTTTTTATTTAATCTTTATTAAAATAATAACCGTTCCCCTTTTTTTGTCTTAAAAATACTAAAATAAATAAACTTTTCTTCACCGCCCTCAATTACATTTTTATAAAATAAGATTTCCACAAAAACTTATAATTTTTTTTGCAAATAAGTAGAATATGTTTATATATGTTATATTGCACGGTAGTTTAAAATAATTAAAAAAAAGACTCAGTATTCTGTAAGTATTGGTAACTATGGAATGAATTAATAAACTTTTTTAAGCATGGAAGGATCTGGGAGTATTCTAAAAGATGTTATTGGAAGGTGATGTTAATGATTAACCAAACATGGATAACGTATGCCCTTCTCTAACACTAAAGCACCATTATAATTGGACACGTTTATTTACAAACTTCGTTATTATCTTTATCCATTTATGTTCTTAAGAATCCCCTAAGAACTCACTCCGCAAAACCATGAAGTCTTTTTATAAATAATTTTCGTTCTCAAAATGTTTATTGGACGGCGTAAATGTATAATTAAAACTGTGTTGACGAAGTAGTGGCTTTTAGAAGAAGTGTGGTAAATAGAGTTTTATCGAGTTGAGACTCCAATACTGAAAAATCATATGTAAGTGAAGACCTTGATGAGATGTGGGAAGAACTTGCTATACACGAAGAAGAGAAACTGAATTTTGTTGATCTGGCTTCTGATGGATTCGCCGCCTGATATTAGTCACCTAGACATGGTGTTAACAAAAATAAACATTGTTATCTAATTATAAAAGAAATGAACTTATCGCACTTTATATCTCAAGAGTCTAGCATCTTAAAAACAGAATTCTTTAAATGAGAAGAACGGTGCTTTTAATAGTTTTCAGGTTAATAGAACCCAAGTAATTTTATATACTTGGGTTGCATTGATAACACAAGTTAACAAATTCCGATAAACTTTTGGACCTGAATCATCAATCTGTTTGTCAAGGTTGGTTCTGGATTTTGAGTTCTTTAAAAAAAATAACGAAGAAGTGGTCACTTCGTTGACATTTTCATTGCAGAATGCTATGGAGAGAACCATAAAATCATGTAGATGACTGCTACTTTTAGAAATAGTCCCATCACCAGTTCGTCCAACTTGATCTCCTTCAACCAGTGATTTCGTCATGGAAGGAAATCATTATATGGATAATAACGCAAAGTGAACAGATTGATTTGATCTGCTTGTAGAAATATACAAGTGCATACAGTGGAATATGAGTCACTGTATGCAGGAAAAGAAACGAAACGCTTCAGCAATTGTTCAAAAAAGATACATTTTCTGCATTCCTATCTTGATTTTTTTTGGTGAAACTTATGCCATACAAACGATGAGCAAGGAGAGCGATTTTAAGATGACGAACGACTACTATTGGACTTAAATACAACATACATCTCGTGTTTCTTATATCTTAAAAATAATATTTCTGCCGTTTACTAATCTGGAACATTAAATTAATAAGAAATTTGTATATTTTATTTTGTAATTAACCTTGTAGGGGAAATATTTGCAAAATTTGACCAACCAGTGTTTTTGTCATGGAAGGAAACCATGATATGGATAATAACGCAAAGTGAACAGATTGATTTGATCTGCTTGTAGAAACAAGAAATTGAAACATAGTTGCAGTAGAATATGAGTCACTGTATGCAAGAAAAGAAACGAAACGCTTCAGCAATTGTTCAAGAAAGATACATTTTCTGCATTCCTATCTTGATTTTTTTCCCTAAAACTTATGCGATACAAGCGATGAGCAAGGAGAGCGGTTTTAGGATGATTAGTAAGAAATTTGTATATTTTATTTTATAATTAACTTTGTAAGGGAAATATTTGCAAAATTTGGGTGTCTTGGGTTAACATTTAATGATTCTTCATATGCGTGATATAAAGTTAAAGCCTCGCTCTTAATGAGACACAACAACGATGGAAATAGGCTCTGATAAAGTGTGTATGGAGAACTCTATTCAATGGAATCATAAGATCAATGTACAAAAAATGCAAAAGAAAATAATAAGCGAAGTTCTTTGATAATAATTTTAACGCATATATTGTATTAAAATATATTAAGAAACAAAGAGTGGAGATTGAGATAAAATAATTCGAGAGTAAAGTTGCTGAAGATGTTTTTTCAACCCGAAATAAGTTCCCAACTAATAAGGTTTCAACTCGTCAATTTTACTAACATTAAAAGCTATTGTGATGAATTAATATGTGGGTTTTGATAATAGAGGAACAAAAACTACTATTAAATTGAGTTGTAAGTCTTCCAAAAGTAACTTATAGATATGGAAAAAATCCTAAATCTGCTAAAGGGTCTATACACAATTAAAATAACTAGATAGAAATTTACAAATTTGGTTAAATAATATTACAATTTTAGCATTTTAATAGTATCAGAAATAAGGAAAATGGGGTTTGAAAGTTTTATCCAGGAAATATAAAGTAAAGGTTGCCTATAACCTTAATAATTAATTTATACATAAATTTATATTAATAAAAATTAATGATTTAAATAATAAGTATGAACAAAAAATAAAATAATCCGATGAAGCAAAAAAAAAAGTAGAATGTTTTAAACAAAAACAATAAAGATAACCTATTAGTTTTTATAAATTAATAAATATTTTAGATTTGTCTTCCTATTTGCAAAAATTTTTTACATCTTTGTGGAAACCTTCACAATCCAAATCTTTTCCGCTAATTTTCCTTGATTATTTTTTCCTCTTTCTTTCTCATCAGTCTAAAAAACAATCCTATATACATCTGATTCATATAATATTTATAAAAACTTAACATAAAATATATTAAATTCACAGATAACAACACTCAGAAAAAGCATTTTTAAATCTTTTTTCTTTACAATTAAAAAAAAAACGCGCTTTATTATAATTTTTCATTATTTCTTATCTCGATAATTAATTAATTATTAATTAATAATAAAAAATATCTTTTATTATTTTCACTCACCTTTCTAATTAATATTCTCTTTAATCCCAAAAAAGAAAATTTCTTGATTTTTTTTCACTTAAAATTTAAATCTATCATTACCTTCGTTGATTCATCTCCAATTCGCGTCTGTGTTTAACCCAAGCGTCGTCGGCTTGAACAATTATACTATTATTATTACTTATCCTTTTGACGTCCTTTTTTTTCCTTAAAAGTCTCGGTCGAAAATGAGGCCTCCCCACATTATCATCTTCATCCTCGTCGTCATCATCATCTTCAATTTCTTTTTTCACCCTTTTCTCAACATCATAACACAGACTGCTTGAATTTCCACGTTTTCTCGTTGAAATTCCCGCCAAATTTAATAACGTTTCAGCTCCCTCTTTGATTTTACGTTCTTCTTCATCTTCAAAATCGATTCTTCTACAAATCGACGATTTCGATAACCTAAAAAAAAATTTATAATTAAACGTCTCGAGGATAATTCTTTTCATTTACTTTATATCTTCTTCATCACTTTCAAAAGCTTCATCAATATAACTATCCGCTGCGCTATATGTATGATCTAGACTTGGCGAACTCGTTATAACTTGACAAGTGGTGCGTTTTTGTCGGTGTCTTAAACCGTTTCGGAGGCTTAACATAACGGCTGCTGCGTCGACTTCGTCCAAAGAATCTTCTCGAGGTTCCGATTTTATCCTTCGATTCATTTCGGAAGCTAAATACGGGAAGAGTTGTGGGTTGGGTAATCGGGTTATATTTGTATTTCGGTCGTTTGTGGGTTTTTTATTGTTGAAATAAACGCTAGGGTCTAAAGTTGAACATCGGTGAAATGGTGATCGAGTTAATGCTTGTAATAAGTTTGGCCGATATTGTTGATCGACTGTCCATAATGATCCTTTACCTAAATTCTAATTAATTGAAAATATTAATTAATTTAAAATTTTTTTTAAATATTACAGTAAAACCTCGATATAACAGATTTCGTTAACAACTAACTAGAAATAACACTAGACCTAGAAACATTCGGATTTAGCCGCACGTCTCTCAAGACGGCTAAACCCGAATGATTCTAGTTTTATACTATCGCTAGAACTAACACAAGACTTTGAACTAGATTCATTCAGGTTTAGCCGTCTTGAGAGACGTGCGGCTAAATCCGAATGTTTCTAGGTCTAGTGATAGTGTAAAACTAGAACCAACACTAGACCTAGAACTAGAATCATTCGGAATTAGCCGTCTTGAGAGACGTGCGGCTAAATCCGAAACTATCTAGTTCTAGGTCTAGTGTTAGTTCAATGATAAATATACAAGAAACAATTAAAAGTGTATATAGTAAGGTAAAAGGGTGCGTCAGGCTAAATGGAGAAATGTCCGAAACTTTTAATATGGAGAAGGGTATGGAAAAGGGAAACTTAAATAATTAAGATGTATAAAATAAGAACAAGACCTTCCACAATAAGTTATTACAAATTAACACCAATCAAGACCTTTGACCTAGTATATGCAGACGATATAATGTTGATAGCAAGTACGAAAACAGAACTACAAAGAAAAATTGCACCTGGAAAACCTGTTTGGAAGAAAGGAGAATGCAAATAAATATAGGAAAAACCAAGATTATGCATATAACTAAGGGGGAAAAGGATAAAAACATAAATATAATGATAAGTGGAGAGAGACTGAAAATTGTGAATAAATTTCAATACTTGTACACCATTATTATTGAGAATGGAACAATAGACAGAAAAATACAAAATAGAATAGAAAAAGTAAGTAATCTACCATATTTGTTCGAATCTAAGAGTCGCCCTCTTTCTTTGAATAATTACATCGAAAAAAAGATTAGTCTTAAAATAAAGAAATTACATTATTACACAATAATGATTAAAACACAAACTTAACTTTATGTATAGTATACAACATGAAAAGAACATTTTTATTCGGTATCTGTTCTGAGATATTTTCCACTTCACTTACACTATTATTGCTGCCTGATTCTGAATCAGTCCTATCTTCTTCCCATAAAAAAATCATCCTCTGAACCATCTAAGGCGTTCGTAATGCAACATTTTTTAAATGAATGCTTGGTTTGATGAAGTTTTCTGGGATTCATTTCCACGCTAATGAAAACCCATTGTTGATGCACTACAGTTCGTTCATCCAACAGATGCAGCGATTTGAAATTACAGCTCCTCCCGCAAATACGCGCAAAATTTGAATAGAATGTTTCTATTGGTAAGCCCGGTTTACAAAAGTCAACCAAGAACAGCTCTCTTTCTTAACTTTTCCTTGTCGTTTACGTACTTTCTTTCTTTGTATGTACGTATTTTTTGTCGTGTGTGAAACTGGCTAATGTGTAATAGTGGGGGATATAGGTGTCGCTTCGCTCAGGTTCACAGCATCTGTTCGATGAACAGAATAGCTTTTTTAATTTTCCAGTTGATATCAGTGGATGGCCGTCACTCATTAACCATAATTCTTATTCTTTTCTTAAATAATCCTTGAAGGGCTTATTAATTGAAACGTCCAATGATTGTAACACACTTGTCATACCTCCAGGTATAATTACCAAACCACCGTTGTTTCTTTTAACTTTAGTTTTTACATCATCTGTAACCATCATGACCGCGAAATCCATCTAGTATTAGTATATTTAATGGTTTACTTAGATATCCGGGACGTCACATTCACCTACTCTTCCATAAGATCTCGTCATCCAGAATTTCTTTTGCGTTCGAACTATAACATCACTGAAGAGGAGCCCTAGTCTGGTACACTAATGCTTCAAAGACAGTTAGATCCGGAGTAGGCATGGGCATCAGTGGACCAAATAGCCACATTAAACTGCCCCTCAACTCGGACATAACCATTTTTCAAGCAGAAGTTCTTGCTATAAACTTCCGCACCGTTTTGAACCTACAACATGGACAGAAAGGTGCATCCATAAACATTTTCACAGACAGTCGGGCCGCCTTAAAGGCAATTCAGGCCAACACGTGTGACTCCGCACTGATCAGAGAGTGTACCAGCAATCTGAGAGAACTCGCTAGGGGCAATTATGTTACCCTATGGTGGGTTCCAGGTCACAGCAACATTGAGGTCAATGAGAAGGCGAACAACCTGGCCAAAGAGGCAGCGAACACGCCGTTCATTGGACCCCAACCTGGTTGTGGACTACAAAAAAGCCACCTAAAATAAATAACCAACAGTTGGGAGGCCTCAAAGGTAGCCTTACGTTGGAAAGCACTTCCAGGTCACAGACAAGCGAAGAGTATGATAACTCCGTCGCAAAACAAAACCGAAGAGGTTTTATGCCTCAGCAAAGGGGATCTAAGGACGCTCTCAGGTTACCTGACCGGCCATGAGCCCCTAAAATACCACCTATTCCACATTGGACAAGCTGAGGATCAAACTTGTCGACTTTGCAACGACGAGTCAGAAACAGCTGGCCGTCTAAAACACAAAATTTTCGGTAATGCTCTCTTGACACCTACCGACATAAAGGTACAATACTAAGGTTCATCAAGGACCTACATTTATTACCTACAAAGTTACAATAGATCTTATAGGTCGCGGGAGAGGGAAATTTTTCATTTTTTGGTATTTTTCTTTTCTAGCGAGTATTAAATATGGCGCTAATTTTTTATCTCCAGCAGTACACAACATTAAATAAATAAATTGGGGTCTTATCAGCGTTACCAATTTGACTAAATTCATATTTTTTTCTTTCTAAGTTGAATTATGTATCTTTGAAAATTTGTTAAATTTGGTCAAAATCTACTGAATCTACGTCGTAACGAAAATCCACCATGGCGCATTAATGTTCTACACCAACCTTCGCTTCTTTTAAATTCCAGACCTTGGCAATTTCTAAGCTCTTTAATTGCATCATCTACCTTGTTATTGGTAGTCCTTTTGCATGTTATTCTTTGACAAAATCAATTACAACATCATTGATATGCGTACATTTTCCTGGTTTAGAATATTGCTGAGCGGTGTTTTCTCCAACGCTGAATATTTGATTCGTTTATGTTGAATTGGCGGCTAGTTGCTCTATTACCATTACTTTCCGCAAATACAAGAACTTTTCGCTTTAATGCAGCGTCGTAATGAACCGTTGTTGTGGCCATAATAGGTAGTTAAATTAATAAAACTTCTATCGATTTCAGAAGGTGACACTTACACTGTTTAGATAACAGAACCTATATGGCAAACTATACTGGGGATTCTCCCAAGCGAATTAGGTAGTATCAACATAATTCGAACAGTAGGGTAACGCGATAAGACATAAAATTCGTATTTTTGTTGTTATAAAGAACAAAAATAATTATTTTTGTTTGTTTGAGTTAATTACTTTTGCGATTTTGTATTATTTTGTGTTTGCATCATATATATTCGAAATTCGTTCGAATCTAATGGCCCCTCTTCACTATGACTCATGATGGCCACAATTGATGATGGCTAGCATGTTTGATACCACTGTGTGCTACATCTACACCATACCACTGTGTGCATCTTCCACACAGTGGTATAGTGTAGATGGCCCACCTAATGGACCACTCCAAGCAACAGGCGCTGTTGACGACCGAAATAGTTAAGCAATGATGGCCCACTTTGTGGACATGCCATCCTTAGCCATTACCATTATCCACCACTTATGGCCACTTCAGGCCATCACTCCTCTACACAATGGCGATTGCTCGCAGAGGTCCATGATAAGCCATAGTGAAGAGGGGCAAAAATAAGGCGCAAAAATATGTATAGCAAAAACAGTGCGCCTTAGATTCGAATGAATAAGGCATATTACCAAATGAATAACACAATTGTGGGCAAGAAAGAACTAGTTGTTATTCAGTGCTAGATTATTGTAAAGCTATTCGAATTTGTATGCATTCAAATTATTCATTTAAAACAGTTTAAAGTACAAATTAAAAATTTTTTACATAACAGACACTTCCTTCTATGTATTAATCCATTATATCAAGGTTTAACTGTATTAAGTAATAAAAAATTGTTTTTATCATAACAAAATATAAAAACAATTTTTTATTGATTTAATTAATTTTCTTACAGGAGCTTTTTCAATCTTCTGAAAACATTTATTTAAAGACAAATTGTGTCGAACACTATTCTTCCATCCCATTGGCGCCGTTCGAAAATACGGAAAATGATCGAGAATCCACGTGTAGATTTCTTTCACAGGAAGCGCTTTCTGATCCGAATCCTCGATAGCCATAAAAATTAAACACGAAAACGAGTACGGCGGTTTACTATTCGTGTGCACTAAAGGATCGTAAAGTACATTGTGAGGGTGTTTATTCCTTTGGTTAGTAACATTTTGGTGAACACTGTTTGTTGGAATCGGCGAATTTAACGAACTGTTTGAAGAATCAGCCGTCGAGGCCGAAGAGTCATCGATATAATCGCTCGTTGGAGATTGATCGGAGAGCAAATTATTATTATTGTTGGTATTATTATTATTATTGGTCATGGTGTATTTTATTGGTGTTGAGTTTAAACTATTTGAAGGAGACGGATTTACAATATTCATTCCTTAAAAAAAATAAATTAATTAATTAGTTAATTAAAAGTTAGGTTCAGTTTTTGGCATTTAAAACGTCAAAATTGACACAATTTTACCTTTTAATAAATCTCTTTCATGTAACCAAGCTAAATTAGTTAAATCATCATCGCCGTTTCCCCCGGTTTTATTTACTTGACTTTGTGCAACAGCTAAAAGTATGGACATTGGTGATTGTGCTTCTCTTGTTGGTGTGCCAGCTATTGGACTTGCCGGAACGGACATTTTCGGGGTTACGCTCGTTTCTTCCGGTAGAATTAGAGCCCTTTCCGGTGACATTGTGCCTCTATAAACATTAATAAATTTTCAAACACTATTTTATGATGTTGTGGTTGCTTAGTAATCGTTGTTAGGTAAATTTTAGGATTAAACAAAGTGAAGGAAATTGATTAAATGTTTGAATTATATCAAATTTCATCAAGAATGATTTAAATTTCATTTATAAATTGTTATAAAACTTAATAAGTTGAGTGTAGGTCTCTCCACTTAGATATGTCAAATATGAATTTTCGGTTGCTTGGCAACCGTGTCAAAATTTGTAATCAAAATGGTGGAGAAAGAAAATTATTATCAGATTTCTTGCGAAAATTAAATAAATTGAAGAAAATTTTGGAAAAAAATAACGCAGATAAGTACGCTTTTTGATAATAAAACTCGGTACAAAATACAAGGTTACAAAACCTGGGGATAAATAAATAACCTCAAATATTTTGATAACTCGGCGGTTTTAACCTCAACTTTGTATTTTTCCTTCACCCTCATTAATTTTCTTATAAACATAAGTATTTTGAAAAACAACATCGAGAAATAATGATAGTTACCCATTTATGACCGCGACACCATAACAATATCAAATAAACTCAAATCAAAATCACACATTTTCACAATACTCCGTCTCTTTTTAAAGCTTACGTAAAACTCGATGACGTACGTCTTGGATACTTTCAGAAACAAATAGCGTCATCGTTGCCATGGTAACGACGAGAGACAGAGATGGAAACGTGACGCAAGGATTTTATTATATCGAGATGAAATCAAAATTACAGCAAGAATTTGATAGAAAAAGCGTTTATGTTGAAAAAAATAATTAATAAAAAAGAAAGGTCTTTTTTTGTAGAAAAAGTATTTTTAGAAAATCCCTCACAAATACATTAACACAGCTTGTTACAAAGACGTAACCTTGAACAATTATAAATTAACAAAATCGTTTTGATTTTTGTAAATAAATAGTTTTTGTGCCACCCCGAATTAGTTTCTTAATCAAATTTCGAAACGAATTTGCACGTTAGTAATCGTCGCGACACAATAACCTCTAAATCAATTTAGAACACGTGTACGAAGTTCGTAATGGAAACTATACGATGTAGGTCAAAATTCGGCCATTTCTGGCCCAGAAAAATATATAAAACACGATTAAAACTTGATTTTTAAGGATTTATTTCTTTTCCGAAAAATAAATAACCTTCTCGAAACGTTTTTTGAGGGTTACAATTTTCGATGTCGTCGTAGTCACATTTCACTCGATTTTAAAAACGAAACTTATTTTAATAGGATATCGATGATGACCGCGGGTTTTGTTTACCTTTAACGATGAGCGATAAATAACAAGAACAAAAACTAAAAATAACCAACAATTAACACTCACAAATCGAACGAATTGTTACGGTTATGATGATGAGCACACCATTTTCTGCCAGCAAACATATGATGCTGGGTTTGTTTGAAGCTTGATTCTTCTTCGTAGTTGGTCGGTTTTATATTTTCGATTTTTGACAGTTTAGCGGGAATTTTAAATTATTCGATATTTCAAATAACGAGATTACTTTAAAAAAGTGAAATTACCTTCAATTTATTTACAAAGATTAACACACGAATGTTTCATACTAAAATAAAGAGTAAAATTTGTTATAATCACCAAATTTTATCGTTTATAAATGACAATTCTTAATATCAACTACTGCCATCTGTTGGGTAATCTTAGTAGATTTATTTGACATTTTGTTGTCAAAATTTAAATTCAATGAAGCTATTTTAAGGTATATCCACACTAAAGAAGCACAGGGGATTCTGTTCCTGATTGCCGTAACCTGTTTAGGAAGCAGAAACAATAACAAATTTATCATAAACATTTTATCCACACCAACAAACCCATTTTAGTCGCTCATAACTGTGTTGCCGCAACAAGAAACTTTCCATCTACATCAGGTTAGTGTATATTTCAGTTTTTGAGTGCAATGTGGCTGCAATTATTATTATTTTGCAAAAACAGGAAAAGAAAATTCGTAAATGTTGGACTACTAAAAGGCACTCTTTTAGAAAGAAATACGCATGGTATCATGCGCCTTATGAGTCCATTAACGAAAGATTATTTAATAGTAGAATCCAGGATCAACAATGGAAATATAAAGAACTTTAGTCGTAGGAAAACCATTTGCTAATAAAATATATTCCAACAACAGATTTATGATAGCCACTACATTTTTTTCTTTTCCTTGTAATACTGAGCCACTACATTTTTTATTTTTCTTTTTACTTCATCAATATCAGCACCAATCGCTTTACTAATCTCCATCCACAAATCTTGTTTTTTGTAACCATCTTTAAAATCTTTATCCCTTGGGTTCCACAAACACTCAGCATTTTTGTATATCTCAATTAAATATAATATATTTGATTAAGTTTATTGAAGAAGAGTTCTCTCTGAGGTTGTACTTCGCCAAACAGAGGAAACTAGAACACTTAACACCACCCCATTTCTGCAACAATTCATTAACCTTTTCTGCAGAGGTGAAATATCTTGGACAAAGGAGTAACTTGGAAACAAATTACAATTCGAGGTAAATATGACACAATCATAACCTAACTAATGCAGAAAGCCCTACTACTTACTAGCACTTGGTGCAGAAGCAAAATCAGTTCCAACAAAATCAGAGAAGGAAGCAACAATTGAGAGGAAGCACCCTCTATTGAAGACAGAACTATTATCCTCAAAACAGAAATCAAATACCTAGGGATAATACTAGTCAATAAATTAAACTGGAACTCCCACATAATCAAGGTGAGGAAAAAACCATTATGGCTAACCAGATCTGTCGCAGGCTTCTTGCACTTCATTTACACATACAAAAGGAGGCAGCTTTAAGTGCCTTATCACTGAAAACATGCTCTTCACTCAAGTTGATGCAGGATAACTTCAGAGGACATCTCAAAATCCTCAAAGACGCATGTCTAAACCAATTGTGGGGATGTATAAAGGGCCTGCTGGAGCCTAAGTGCTGTGAAGTAATCCACCTCCACATGAAACTATATGGTGATCCTTCTCTTCAACTCTTGCATCACCTAGTTACTCTTTAGTTCTGAATAGAACTGATAATAATTTGTTTAATAAAAATGTTTTAGATTTTAATGGATTTAAACCTAAAATAACAATAATATACAATAGAGTTTTTATTTAACAAAAAAAAAACAGTTTATTACAATATTTTATTGCACTCGCAGCAAAACGATAAGATTTTTTTAAAAGTTAAACAACTTTAAAAATATTAAATTATTAAATAATAATAATTATAATCATATTAAATTTTTAATCAATCACTTCCATTCTTCAAAACGTTAAAACGTTATTTTTTGTCGAAACAAACACATTTTTGAGGTTATAAAAAGTATAAAATAGACTGAAAATACTTATCAACTATTCGTAACAATACTGTTTTCTTTTTTAAAAAAACCTGTTTCTTTTTTTATTTAAACATCATTATTATTAATTATTTTATACTTTCCCTCGTAATTCTCATATATTAAGAGAAAAATATAACGATAAATCATTTTTTTTTACATCCAATTATTTAAATTAAACCCTTTTCTTCTTCGTCATGTCGTCACCACTCAATATTAATAATATCAACGGGGAGAAAGCGATTTTATTCATCGCATTTTTTACAAACGCGCACCGGATAATCCCAACCTCTAAATGGAACACGTTTTCTCCGTTGCGAACAATCATCGCAAACTCCTTTACCACATTCTCGGCAGTGATGTAAAGGTACAATTGGACCAAAAGGCATTTCGCAACACCAACAATATAAACATTCCGAATCGGGTGTCCAATAACTAGGTCGCGCAGTGTCTTTTATGATATCTTTTGGAATTTCCAAAGCGTAAGCAACGGCAGATATGGAACTGATCACAGTTTCACCAAATTTTCGTATTTTCACTTCGTTATCATCAATTGTTTGACTTAAACTTGGTAAATTTTCAGTGTAACAAACATCGCAAACACGAACCGGATCGCGCCAACCTCGAGATGGAACCGGTTGGGTTTTTGATGAACATTTTTCGCAAAAACCTTCACCGCATGATCTGCAATGATGTTTTTTTGATGTTGGTGGAAATGGGGTTTTACATTTATTACATTCCTAAAAAATAAAGATAATCATATTAAAATAAAATGAATTTTAAAGAAATAACTTACAAAAATCTCTCTATCAGGTCTCCAATAAGAAGGATTAATAGTTTCTGTGAAAAAAGTTTTCACCGCATTTGTAGGTTGTGATCCAACGTTAGCAACAACATCGCTTAAATATGTAACACTATCAAGCACCTTTTGAATGGAATTTGTTGAACCAACAAAGTTTTTGTCTTGATAAACAAATTCTCCCTGTAAAAAAGGTGTTAAATTTATGCAAAAAATATATGGTATATCAAAGAAGGAATAGCAGGATTGTTACTTGTTGGGAGAGATTCGTTTCACTTACACCAGGCCAAACATGAACGTATTCAACTAACACCGCTGCTTCTTCTGGGCTTTTATTTCCATACCAATGTTGTCTACTTCGATAAATCTCGCCACAATTTCTACATTCAATAATATAACCCGACCAAACATAACTTAAAAGATTAGTCCACGATTTTTCTGTTACTGATTGATAGCTGGGTTTTACTATAATCCTTTGTCCATTTTTAGAACATTGCTAAAAAAAAATTTGCGTTTAATTATGTTCTAAATCTGATATGATTGGTGTTTCAAAACAAACTTTTTTACCTTGCAAAGATAAACGCAATTTTGAAATTGATGTTGGAATTTACATCTGTTACTGTTTAAATGGGGTTCCCCTTCTTCTTTATGCCCCATTGAGAGAGTACAACCTTCGTTACAAGATTGGCACTTCACTTGACATGCAAAATAGTCTTTTAAATGTAATTGGGGTGGAACGTTTTTAATTTCACTGCTAAATTTATCATTTAAACCCTAAAATAAATATAAAAGAAACATATTAATTTTAATAACAAAATTTAGAACTAAGGTTACCAACATGGTTGAATTGGCGAGCTGGAGAAAACGTTTTTGTTTTATAAAACATAAGTAGTATAAAAGAAAAATAAAACAATGAATGTGTAAATGACAGTCGTACTTTAACGATGAAAAAGTTTATTTATGTTTTTCAGTTTCTACCGGTTTCGGCGTGTTAATGCCATCCTCAGGAAACCACGTTACGATTTTATGTTTTCTTTTTATCATACTCTTTTATTTTCTTTTCTTCCTTTTCCGCGCGAATGTTTTTAAAAAAAAGATAGATTTTACAAAAGATATTCGCGCCTAAAATCACTCCTAGAAATAACAGAACATTCATGGTTTTGTAAAATAGATAAATTATATCAAACAGAAACAAATACAAGTTGGGTTGAACATTGAAATAATACAATAGAGAATAGAAGAAAAGAAAATAATGAATACAACCATTTTCTAAAGTTATATTTCTTTTCACTACTTGTTTTTGTTCTGGAAATTTTAAATATTGATAAAATTTGTCACAGTCCTATTAAAGTTTATACGTATAGCGATTTTTGCATTTTTTGCGATTTCATGAAAGTAAGGTTCGGGTAAAGATGGGGTTGTTAAATCGTCTTCCAATTCATTCTCCTGAGACTTGACGAATTTCCAAATGAAAACATCGCAATTGTCTTGTCCCTCATTTAGAAAATACATAATAAATTGCAGGCCATGATTACAATACTCTGTCAACAGCTTCAGACATAGATAACCATATAGTGGGAACATTCTTAATCATTGGAGAATGGGTTACTTATTCTCCAATGATGTTTTTTCACAAGCTTTTTTTAACACAAGCAGGATCATTTCAAAGTTGGAAATTTGGTCAATTACACCAATTTCATCGTACCTATATATCCTCATTAATGTTTATGTTTAAAATTGAGGTAATTAAGCAGACAGATATTTAAAAGTAGGATTTTCTAAGTCATAATATTTTGTAATATATTCCAAAGTGCGTTCATAAACTTCTCTATCCTCAAATATTGTTTTGATCTTTTTGTTTGAAGTGACTTAGATACAATCGAACCTGAGTGCCAAAAAGATTGTCTTGTGTATCTAGTGGGAACATTCTTAATCATTGGAGAATATTATTCCCTTCTAGAAACTGTACTTGATGCAAATTCGGAATCAATTTTATTAATCAATGTATCGACATCATAATTGAGTTGTGCATTAGTAAGTACATGGCTATTACAATTTGCTTTTACTTACTATAAATCGATTTTTTGAGGAAAACTTCTGGTAAACCGAGTTGTATTTCCCATAGTTTACAGCTACATTATCTGCTGAGTACGCCATCACGTTTTCTGTTAATAAATTGTTATCGTTTAAGCAATTTAAAATTTTTTTAAGTATTGCCTCAGATGTTTCATAATCATCAGTGTAAAAATCCAGAATTTTGCTTTTTATTCCCTCTTCAGGAACAAAATACGTAACTACAAGAGGAAATAACTTAAGATTTCCTCTGTTGGAGGCTAAATGCCATAGAACCCAAAATATTCTCCACTAAACTAGAATATTCTCCACTTTAGTGCGTTTTGATTTTTTTTTGTTAATGCAGAATCGTAATAGATTAAGTTATTTGATTTCACAGTGCAATCTACACTGTTGTAACTATGTTGATGCATTACGTCATGCTACACCAATGCTAATTCTGATATAGTGACACGCACATCTTTCGCCGTTTCGTTACATACAAAATATGTGGTTATTAGTTGTGAACTACTTTGAGCTGTAACTATTTGTGCATGGCGAACAGAATTTTAGTGTGCTTGAGCTGTAATTATTTGTACATGGCGAGCAGAGTTTTAGTACTGCCTTTTCTCCATCGTATGTGTAACTGTGTTGATGCATTACGCCATGATATACCAATGCTAATTCTGATATAGTAACACGCACATCTTCCGCCGTTTCCTTACTTACAAAATATGTGGTTTTTAGTGGTGAACTACTTTGAGCTGTAATTATTTGTGCATGACGAACAGAATTTTAGTATGCTTTTACTGCCTTTTCTCCGCCGTCTTTAATAACGATGCAGAATCTTAATAGATTAAGTTATTTAATTTCACAGTGCAATCTACACTGTTGTAACTATGTTGATGCATTACGTCATGCTACACCAATGCTAATTCTGATATAGTGACACGCATATCTTTCGCGGTTTCGTTACATACTAAATATGTGGATATTAGTTGTGAATTACTTTGAGCTGTAATTATTTGTACATGGCGAACAGATTTTGGTGTGTTATTACTGCCTTTTCTCTATCCTTTTCTGCATCAATAACGATGCAGAATTTTAATAGATTAAGTTATTTAATTTCACAGTGCAATCTACACTGTTGTAACTGTCTTGATGCATTACTCCATGATACCCCAATGCTAATTCTGATATAGTGACACGCCGTTTCCTTACATACAAAATATGTCGTTATTAGTTCTGAACTACTTCGAGTTCCACATAATTTGCACCTCCCAGTTAGATAATTTTCCTTTTGCAACCAATTTTTATATTCATTGTGCGTTAACCATTCGTTATTGAAGGAAACAAAATACTTCTTCTTTTTCTTTGGAGTTTCTGACATTCTTAAAACTCTATTTAATAAAAAATCAATTAAGTAAATAATTAATCATTTCTTACCTTTTTGTTTCAACTTATAACAAAATTAAAACAAAGAAAGGGATAAAGGCACACACTACATGCTGTAGTATCAAAACTAACACTGATCACTATTTACAGCGCGAAGATATTGTATAAAAATTAACAGAATAGTAAACAAACCGAGATTTCCCCGAAATTAAATAAAATTTCGTAATACCCGTCGTGCAAAGACGTAAGATTTAGTAGAACAAGTACTTGTTCATAGACAGCGTTTTACAATCCCGGCGAATTTTATTAAATACTAGAGCCCAGAGATTAAATTAAAACCCTGGAGTGTCCAGGTGAAAATAACCATGTTGGCAACCCTATTAGAACTAGAAACTTTTGGGTTAAGCCGTTTGAAACGGTTAAAAACGTTTGATGTTGCACATTCTTTAGAAGCAACCTTCTAGAAATGGATCACATCAAACATGTTTTCAAAAGATGCACTGCTTAACCTAAGATTCTAGGATGTTTTATTTTATGCTTATTACCTTTAATGTTAAAAAAACAACTTTAGCATTTCTTTTGGATCTCACACTACTATTAGCCAAATCCAACTGAATATATTTTTTTAATTCCCGAAAATCAGTGGGTTGCTCCTTCGTTTGAATCCCCACATATTTCAATTGACTAAAAGCGTTGCATTCTAAATTTAATTTGCCAAACTCAGCACGAAGTAAATCCTCTGGAGATTCTTCAACACTCGGACAAGAATTCCAGGTGCAAGTGTGTAAAGTCTCGTGGAAAATAATTAAGCTGGGTCCTAAAGCGGCTGGAACTGGTTCGTTTTCGAATTTTTGCCAAACTTGTTGTAATGCTGTTTTAAAATGCTCGTTGTACGCTTTTGAAGCGCCCCCCAAAAAGGCGTACATGTCTGTCGGTAACCGTTCCGCTCTCGTCCGATAAATAACAACATCAGAAACGGCCAACACTTTTAATAATAACCGAGTACGTTGACTTTGTTTACGACTGATCCCTAATAATCCCTCCGTATCCAAACAAATCACGTCCAAATTTGGATCGTAAGCAGCCCAAACACCCATTGTACACGATTTTTGTAATGCACTCGTTTTAAAAACTTCATTTCCTTTAAAAAACACTTGATTTAACGTATGGGATTTTCCATCCCCTGTATTTCCAAATATCGAAACGACTTTAACTTTTTTCGTAGGCTCATCAATTTTTAATCTGGCCAAAAATTCTTCAGGGGAATTCACACACAGTCTTTCAATATCATTTAGTAAAAGGAATGATGGCAATTCATTACTGGTAATTAATAAAGAGTCCTGATCATGTAATGGAAGTGATTCCAAACGATTCATTAATAGGTTGGTTTGGTCACAACCCATTTGATGAAGCGGTTCTAAACTTAAATTTAAACTTGTATCCGTAGTTGGAGTTAATATCGAAGGGTTTGTGTATTTTTGCGATGCTGTTTTTGCGAGGGTTTGAGGCATTTTTGAAGTTAATAATTATTTAATTGGGGTACTGCAACAAAAATAAAAATGTATTAATTTAATCACGTTTTATTTTAACCAGCAATAAAAATTGCATAATAATCTCTCTCATTCTCGGTTAAAAGAGAAATTTGATGCCTTTTAGATCAATTTACTTTATATAGAGAGAGGCTTAAAGTTGTGCAAAAATAAGATTAAAAAGAATTCTTAAACAAAAATGTGTAGTTTAACTCGCAAAAAAATATATGCACGAATTATGTTTATAAATGTTTGTTTTTATTGTAATTTTACAATCTAGAACATCAGTTTCTTATCGTTATCCACTTATTTGTTAAGATCGTGGAAATAGATAACATTACAAAAATAAATTTAATAAAATTAACCACAAAGGTTTTGTTATTTACCAAAATAACCCAAAATAACATCGAATAAATTAATTATAACGCTTCTTACCGAAAGATTTTGCTAAATAACATACTCCAAAGACATCAAGAACAAAAACCTAACCTCAAACTCACTTTTGACAGTTCTTAAAACTTGTAAACAAACAGGTTATGTTTTTAATGACATTTAAATAACCTTTCGAAAAGAATATCCCAAGTACTTATCTTTTCTTTATTTCTTTACTTTTTTTAATACTTCACATAAAAGGAAACACATATTTAAGCGAAACAACAACAAATTAAAACCATCTGATGCAGGGAGTCTGACGTATGTTTGCACAATTTTTGCATTTACACAAAAGCAAAATAAACGGGTGTTTACAATTTGATTTGAAATTCCTGTTGGATGGAATCTTACCGAAAATTTCGATTGAAAATCATGCCGTGTAACCGCTTTTTGAACGCCTCTTCGTGTTGTTTTTGTTGTTCACTCACTTTCAATGAAAAAAACAAACTTACGCATGTCAAATTGAGAAGAAAGAGGTTAACGTAAAGGAGGAGGTGTTTTTCAAGGTCGAAGAATGTGTGTTTTCATTAAAAAATGCAATTTATAAACACCAAGTTGAACAAAGAGAATGATTTTTTTTTACTTCACTTAATTTATTTCTTTTTGTAGGAATTGTTTTAGGAAAACGTGCTTCCATACGTTTTGTAAGATATGAACTGAACGAAAATGTTTTCGTATGATTAAAATAAACTATGACTATGTTGTGGGTTACTTTAAAAATTATTTGACGTTTTTTGATGTAAAAGCGTCATTCTGTTATCTTTTAGTTATCTCATTTATTTCGTCGCGGGATTTTCTCGTAATTTATTTATTATTTTATGGAATTATTAATTAATTAAATTATGAAAAATTGATTTAATTAAATTTATTAAAATTAATTAAATGCTGCCATCTATTGATGGATTAAGTCACTTAATAAAAAAATTAAATTATTGTTGGATCAAATGAACAAATTTAAAAATGTTTTTTAATTATCACATTCGAATAAATTGCGTAATTAGCCAAGTAAATTTAATTAATTAATATTGAATTATTATTTTTAAATTAACTAAATTTGACGCAAATGCGCCATCTACTGTTGAAAAATGTAAGTAGTTTGAGTTTCCATTTTATAATTTCGTTTTCACTTTAGGTTCATAAAACGTTATTTTTGGAATATCTTCGAAAGTGAACGCTTTGTAAAATTATGCTGTGAATAGAGAAGATTTTGCAGCCTCCATAATATTTCGTGAGACTTTTGAAGGAATTTGGGAAAACTAAAACCGAGTTAGGTTAAATGGAGTAAGGTAAATTTGAAAAAGTAAACAAGAATATTTGAATTCTGTGGAATTTCCCAAATAGTCTTGGAATAATTAAGATTTTTTTATATTAATACAGGAACGTTACTGTCCTAATATGTTAGGTTATTAATTATTTTCTTATCAATGACAAACATAATTCAGTGGAACTGTAATGGCCTTATCCATCATTACTGTGGTTTGAAGTTGTTGCTAAATCGATATTCCCCTGTATGTATTTGTTTGCAAGAAAACCATCTTCATCCTGGACAGCCCTATTCCATCAAAGGATACTCTAGTTATAGGAAAGATTTTCCAAAAATTCTAAGACCTAATGGTGTTGTTGCTATTCTAGTTAATGAATCCATGAAGGCTGTTTCTATCAATTTATCAAGTAACATACAAGCGGTTGCAGTTCGTTTAGTAGTACTTTTTAATATTGCTATATGTAATGTATACTTGCCTGAAATTGATTGGCAATTGCATGACTTACGTAACTTTATACGACAACTGCCACCTCCATTCTGTATTGTCGGTGATTTTAATGCTCATAGTCACAAGACTGGCAGTGGTCAGGACCAAACAACTGCTAGGAACTGTGGACTTTACGTTGCCCCCCTTACTTTCTTTATGCAGTATCGAATTAACTCCTTGGCAGTTAAATAAACCAGTTTTCAAATTAAATCTTACATGTTATGCTAAAGAGAGTACACCATGGGAATTACTTAGAGCAGAATTTAGAAATATAATCAATGCCTATGATTATGGTGTTTTTATTTATACTGATGGTTCTAAAAAGGAGAGTGGGGTTGGTTGCGCGTTTGTGGTTGGGGATAGTGATTATTCATGGAGCTTACAGAGTTTTGCGTCTATCTTCTTTGCGGACTTATATGCCATCTTCCAGGCTGTTATTCATCCGTATGAGTCATAATGGAAATAACTTTGTTATAGTTACAGACTCGTTGAGTGCTGTTAAATCATTACAAGCAATATCTCCAAACGAACCGATGTTACGGATGGTTGGAGAATTGTTCCATGTTATCTTGCTTTCTGGAAAACAGATCGTATTTATTTTGGTACCGGGTCATATCGGCATTGAGAGTAATAAAAGGGCAGATAAAGCAGTATATGTCGTCATAAGGTAACTTAAATCTCTAGTATATAACAAGTGGCAGAATGACTGGCAACACAGTGAAAGTTTTTTTACACCGTATCAAACCCTTAATAAAACCTTGGAATCAGTCCATTATTTTCATTAGATCAGAATAGGTGAAACTAGCGAGATTACATATAGGACATACACAACTGACTTCCGGTTATTTGTTAAAACGAGAACCAAGACCTGTATGTTTGGGCTGCGAAGTTCATCTCACGGTAATGCATATCCTACTAGACTGTGAATTATATGCCAACGAGATGTCTGGATGATGCATACGCGAATCATGTTAATTTGGTTGAATTTTTTAAGCGCTAAAGATCTTCGCTATCGAAGCGCTTCTAATATCAATAATAATACAGGAACGTTGTTTAAAATGCTCTTATGCCTTTAACTACCAAATAAGATTAATCTTGTATATGTAGTAACTTTAAATAAGTTCCTTGCAATCCAGAAGAATTGAATTATCAACCGTTTCTCTCTAAGTAAACCTAAAACAACTTATTTTGAGTAATAGGTAACAACCAAAACATCGAAAAATAAATGTTGTGTAGGTAATAATTAAGTTTTATTGAAAAGTAAAACGCCCAATTCGTTTTTTAAAATATTTACAAACTTAATATGTATTTATTCGTTAGAATAATGAAGTAAAAACAAAGTTTTTTTCAGCCTTTTTTTTAGTTAAATCTCACTATAACGTTTCAATCGAAAAAATGGTCAGTTTTTTTTTTAATAAATTCATTAACACGAAGAAAAAAGCGATAGAAATCTAAGTACAAAATAAAAAGAATTCAAGTTGGTTTTTAAAAAAAAGTATTCTATTTTTAAATTATAATAATTTGATACGAATAATTAAATCTGTTTTTAATGTGATTGGAAAAATAATTTAAAATAATAATGTTTTTAGCTCGGTTTAAACTTAAGCTAATGCGGATAAATGATATAGTTTAATGTTAAATAATTTACATTTCGTAGTAATAATAAAAATGATAAGAGAGATATGTGTACATTATAAAAAAGGATTATTGCTAAACAATTAAGTCGATATTATAATATAAATAACAAAAAAAAAAGGAAAAAATTCTCAATGACGACAAACATTTACAATTATATGAAAAAATACTAATTTACAGTTTTTTTTTTTGAATCTTTTTTAATCTTAATCGTATTTTATCCTTATTACAAATACTCAACGATTATAAATTACACTATTTACAATATCTTTTTTTTTTCGTATAATCAGAAAAATCTTCTTTTTTAAAAAAATATTTCTCAACAAAATTTTTCTTCGCCAATCACTTTTCATTTACAATTACTTTTTTCTTGAAATGTAGAAAAAATAGAGGCACTTGGAACGTTTATCAACCACTAATCATGATCTTTGAACCGATTTCGGTTTCGTAACAATTTGTAAAGTGGGACTTGAAGGTCTCGATGGTTTCCTTGGGACAGTTTGCGGAATAACTGTTAACGATTTTGGTATTTTTGGTAAAATCATAACAACCGGTTGTTGTTTATTAGGTTCGTTCAATTTCATTTCTAACTTTTCAACTTGCCGATCTAATTTTTCTAAGCTACTTTCCTCTTTTTCCATGTCAAATAAATCGTTCGATTTGTTTGTATTCAAAGGATTTAAAATTGAAGTTTTTGAAACGGTTATTTTTTTCGGCGCCAAAGATTTTAGAAGCGAATTAACTGAGGGTTTTAAATTTATCAACGATTTTTGACCCTCTTGTATTTTTTTTTGTTTTAAATCGAACGTACGTTTTATAGCGCACATTTTTTTGTAATCTTCCAAGGTGATATGGTAGGGTTTTCCCCCGGAAATGACTTGCACCAAACCGGGTCTTTTTTCGATTTTTTTGTTAGGATCGATAGGAATTAAATTTGGGCGCCAATTTTTTGTGATTGGAAACTTAATTTTTTGAGGTTGAGGTACTTTAACTAAAGGAGCGATGGGTTTACTCGTTCCGGGTTGTAAAGGCATTAATCCAGGGGGAACCCCAGATGAAGTTTTTATTGTATTCACTAATAAACCGGAACTGTTTAATTGATTCAATGTAATTGGGGTGTTTTTAGGTATATTAGCCGCGTTTATTACATTTAAATTTGATTGATCCTTATTTTGAGGTTGATGATTTTTTTGTGGTGCTTTATTAAATGGTATCATTGTTAATGGTTGGATGTTACCAGAACTTGTTGGGGTGTTATCATAAGCCCTTAAACGATTTTGAACCGATTCACTATAATTAACTGAGTGATGACTCGCGTTTGGCGATAAAATTAAATCACCATTTCGGAAATATTTTTCTAATAATATTAAATGACGTAAAAAACTACTTTGGTTTCCATAAGGTTTTTGTAATTCTTGCCATAAATGTTTTGTGTCGGCGTCATATTGAATTGTAGCTGTACATTTTTCCCAACCTTCTGGTGTTCTTTCTTTAACGTTGTTAAATTCGATCGTTCCTTGAAGGGGTAAATCTTCTTCTCCAGGAAATAATTGTCGAACGGAAATCGATGGATTCGAACCCAACCTTTGTACAGCTATATCAGTCCCAACACCACCTCCAACACAAATCTTTTTATTTTCATCTTTTACATCGGATGTTTTAACCACCTTTTTTAATATTAACGATTTTCGTGGTTCTTTTTTCGCATTTTCTAAATCGCTCCCGCAATCCATCGCTATATTAGGAATTAATGTTTGATAATCGACCATGTAATCGGACGGGGATTCTGCCCTCGATTCCGATGAAGGCACATTGTTTTGGTCGCTTAATTGTTCGGTATCCGTTAAGTTTTGAGTATCGCTATTAGCTACCGTTGTGGTCGTCGACGTCGTAGTCGTCGTTTCGATCGTCGGCGTCGGCGATTTCGAACCTTTTTTCTTTTTCTTCGAGGAACACGACTTTTCGTTGCGATGTTCCGTTTCCATTTTCGATGAAGTATCTTTTACCGGTATTAAAATCGGCTCTTCAACTTCACCTTCATTCATAGGTTCAACGTCGTGAAAATGTAACAAACTAAACAAACCAATTAATTTTCGCAACATTATAATTACAAATTCTTACCGTCTAGTGTATTCTTTAAAAAACTTTTCTGTTGAGGGATCCTCTTCATTCGAAAGAGTCAGTGTGGCGTAATATTTACATAATTTACAAACGACGGGTTTATCTTCGAGTTTAACCGGGATGTTTATAGCGTTTAATTTTTCGTTTAATTCGGTTAATTCTTGGCCCAAGTAGTGAATGTGGTTTTTGGCTAGTTTTCTTTTGCACATCGCGCACGTCATTAAATGTTCTAAAGCTGTGTAATGTTCGTCACAAATCGGAATTGAGTGTAAACCGGGATTATCCAAGTCTATATTGATCTAGAATCAAAAAAATTAAAGTTATCTTTTAATCATTTTTTTTTTATTCAACTTACCACTTTACAAATATTTTTTCTCATCTTTATGATCCATTTTCGCCTCAAAATGTTATTGGATTCGTTTCGACAACCCAAAACGTGGCAATGATTTTCTTTGGGGGCTGGGGCGACGAGCACGTTTCTTTTGAAGGTTTTATTTGAAGTGTAAGAGGGGATGTTGGATTTTCTATCAACGTGACGGAAACAAGCATCGCAAAGGCATGAATCTCGCGTTAAATGTTTTTCAGCTAAAATTTTTTTTTTAATTTATTAATTTTTGTGAGTTATTTAAACAAACCTGCTAAAACTTTATCTTGTCTTTCAACAGTTTTAATTTGGGCGATGTGACAAGGAGTATCAAAAAGGCCAAATTTTCCGAAACAATACGAACACTCATCTTTGCAAAGTCTTCCTGGGTGGATGCTAAAAGAAGACGCTTTTTCTGGTATTACGAGGGATTTTCCATCTTCGCCTGTAGCCGCATCTCCATCAGAGGTATGTTCACTACTTCCATCTACTACAAAAGAGGGAAAATAATAAATTAAATGTGTTAAGATTTTTTTAGGTCAGCTTGCTTTTAAAGTATTAATTAAAATTAAAATGATTATGTTGCGTTTTAACTAAAACTTACTAAGCGAGAAAATGTGAAAACAAAATTTGGGTTTATAAAATTCGTTAAAAAAAATAGTTAGTAATCTAAAGAAAATGGGATTTTGAACTATGATATTATTTTTTTTTGTGGTAAAGGTATAGGCCCAAAACACCGTTTATTTACCCATGTTAGATCGGTTAGCATAATGTGATTTGCGTAGCGCACCAGCTGATTCTGATGATTGATTTCCATGGGTTTTCCATGTTGATTCCCTCTAAAAAAAAATTAACGATCGTTAAGAATCAATTTAAAACATAATTATATTCTATTTCATAATAATTAATAGTAGTATGTCAATGTGTTAAAGAAATCTAAATCTTGTTGTGGATAAATGTTCTTATAAACTGTCATTATGCAATTTACTTGTAGTAGCAATCTTAATACTTTTTATTGGTTGTAACAGTAATTGTTTTTGGCAAAGTCTCAAATACAACACATAATTTATTAGTCGAGCTTGTGCTTTTAAACACGCTCCTCATTGAAATATAGCTTAACAATCTATCTCTATTTGTCTATTTATTTGATCTATTTATTGCTTCGTATTACAATTTTGTTGCAAAGAATCAAAGTTATTCATCTTTATCGTTCCTGTTACTAGCTATTCTAATTTGAAACAATCCTAGGTAAATAGCGAAAAAGATTAATGAGAGCAACTTAACTCAATTACTTGATATAGGAGGCACTGTCATAGAGATTATCTTAATGTTCTTCTACGCGCAGAGGAACAGATCTAGTAGAACATTGATGTAAGTGAATTTGAGGAGATAAGGACGATTACATAGAAATCCTTCCAAATACGTGGAAAAACTTCAGGCTGAATGTATAATCGGTCGAATACATAAAATAGTATTAAAAAACTGACAGACATTGCCGAATTTGTTGAATGTTTGACAGAATGCAACATGTCAAAAATGTTCCTTGATGAAGCAGCATTTGCAATGCCCTGAATGCACAGGATAGTGATCGGCAGGAACTAACCCAGTTAATTTTGCTGCTACTAAAAATTTATCGCACTGAAGGCGACTGTTGTTTGTTGCTCTCTCCCTGACTGCCAGCTATCAATTTTGATCCGCTATACAGTGATACAATAAAGTCTACATACACCTCAGAAAATGATATTATCTCAGCTCCTGAAATGTAATTCAATGAAATTTGTAAACGAAGGATATTAGAAGTTTATATTATTTTAATCTATAACCGTAATTCCCGAAGCAGTTCGACTTATATTACGAAGTAAAGGCTACAGCAGTAGAGTTTCCAGAAAAAAAGCGAAAACAAATGCGAAAAGAGTCGATTTTGCCAAATTCCATGTTCAAAAGTAAATTCAATATTTTCGGTTATGATGGCACAACAAAAGCATGGAGAAAGAAAAACTTGAAAGCCACAGTGAAGCGTGGCGGAGGAAACGTGATGGTATGAGGTTGTATGTCAGGGGCTAATATAGGAAATTTAGAGTTTATTGAGGAAATTATGGACTGGCATGTATATCTGAACATATTGCGAACTAATTTAAAGGAATCAGTCAATAAATTAGGCTTGGGATCACAGTGGATATTCCAACACTATAATGATCCCAAGGCAGCTCACATTGTAAAATATTATATAATATCCCCAAACAGACCTTTATGACCTCAACCTCATAAAGCAGGTATGAGAGCTTTTTGACTGCAAAATTCTGAAGCTACAAATTAGAAATAAAAACGACTTCAAAGCTGCACTATTATGGGAATGGCAGAGTATTTCACCAAAACTTACAGCTAATTTAGTTGATTCCATGCCTTGACGATTAGCAGCAGTTCTTGCTGCCAAGGGAGGACCTACCGAATATTAATTTTAGTATGTAAATTTCGACTTGTTTTGATTGTTAATGGTATAGTATAGTATAAGAGTAAACTATATGAGACTTTTCTGAGTTAGAACTTATATAATTTTTATGTAAAATATGAAAATAATACAGACTTCTTACATCTTTTGTTAACAAATTTCATTGAAAGCTACATGTAATAGCTTTTGGAAGCTGAGATAATATCATTTTCTGGGGTATATGTAGACTTTGTTGTATCACTGTATGTATTCTATTCTCTATTATATTCTAAAGTGTTGTCAGATGAGATGTCAAAACTCCTTGAAAGTTATATATGAATGTAATATAATAAGCGACTTCGGCAAATTTCCCCAAATCAACAACTCAATTACTTGCTTTTTCATAAATGTGTTCTCTGCATTAACATTGTAAATATAGATTGTAGAACTGAGTTGAGTCTAGAACTCTTTCAATATATCAAAAACAGCTTGAATTGTAATTAGAATATGCACACTATCCAAAAATGGCGAAGGAGCAGGGATACAGCAGCAAGCGACGTCAACTGAACACCCACATTGAGGGTGGAAATTGATGACTTGGAGACATGGAATAAAGAGAAACTTCGTGGTTATTCTAATAAGCTTTAAAGTGTATTTATCACCAAATGGGATCGGACAAAACAATTAAAGAAAAAAGCTAACCTGGCTGCTCTTTGATAGACCGCATAAGAAGTTCAGATCTTGGGGAAACTGTGGGATGCACGATCTAGTTAGATGAGCGCATGGTAGACGAAGAGAATGAAGAGACCATGTAGGGAGAATGTTAAAAAAACACAGATTGCCGAAAATAGATAGCCAAAGAAGGAACCAGTTGAGAAAGACATGGCAGAACTCTATTGATATTGTAAGAAGAAGAAGAGGACTTTCGAGATATAAAGTCAACAAAGAAAGTTTAAACGTAAAAAAGCTTGGGTCACCCATTATCTTTTTAGCCAATAGATAAACAACATCTTTGCCCCTATGGTAAAAGAATATCTGATAACAAATAAACTTCCACTTAAAGCTGTATTGGTACTGGATAAAACGGTGATTCTCAACCTATACTATTTCCTAGATATCCGATATATGCGGCGACATCTAGATAAGGTGCTTCTAGGCCGCGCTAGTGAGACATCGTGGATTCAACGAACCCAATTGTTGTGTATAGAAAATACTGGAAACAACTTGGAACACTTGCTTTGATGTCATCACTCTGTATACATATATTTAATGTTAAAGGTCCACTGCACAGTTGCGGCTTTTTACTTTTTGTTCTTTATCAAATCTAACATAAATGGTAAAAACAAATATATTTAATATTTAATTGCTTCTTTCTTCTAATTTTGCAACATGTTTTTTTATGACAGAATAATGAAAAGTATTTCTTTCCTAGAACATTCAACCAAGAAATCTAGATCATTTGATTGGACAAATAAGACAACAAAGATTCTATAACTGCATGATATAGAATAGAATTTTTGTAAAAAAAAATCTAAAAATGATATAATTATAAGAAAGATTATATCCATCAATTTTCGTCAAAAAAAAAGTAAACTAAAATTATTTCAATTTACATTTATAATGTTTTTTATCTCAGCAATTCAATTAGAAACTAATTTAAAGTATTCAAGGTTAAATTTAAACGCTACATAATTTTTTTTAATTAAAAATTAAAGATTTTCTTACCTCTCTCGCAGCACTCGTTGATGGTTTCTCCTCATTTTTCGCATCATCATCCTTTTTCTCTTTATCCTCCTTATTTTCCTTGTTAGGTCTCCTATTTTTTTGCAACGATAATTTCTTCCCTCGCTTGCGATCGCTTCGATTCAACTTAATCACCGTTTTTAACGTACCCGTGTACATTTCGGTTTTATTAGGCGATTCTTTTTGTTGTAGCCCTTTTAGTTTTGCTTCTTCAGCCGCTTTTAAACTCTGCAATCCTAATGCTTTCAATATTGTCTCTTTTATCGCTAAACTTTCAGGTGACTCGACAATTTCTATGTTTATATCTTCGGGTTGTGTCGATTCAGATTTGTCCTCTTCGATTTTCGGTGTTTCTTCGGGGATTTGTTCTTCGTGATTTTCTTGAGGGACTTCTTGAAGAATTTCGTTTGGTGATTCGTTAATTTTTGGTTCTTCGTTTAATGATTTTGTTTCTGCTTTTTCTTGGTTTATTATTTCTTCGTGATTTAAATTGTCTTCAATAATATTCATTGGTTCAAGAATTGGGGGTTCTTCGTTTTGATCTAGTTCCTCTTCTTCGTCTTCATTGTTTAATTCGATTCCGTTTTGATTCGTTTCTAAATTGATCTCTTTAATTGGTTGAAGTTGAGGTAAATTTTCTTCATTTTTATTGTTACTATTACCATAAAAAGTGTCCGTATTAATTGATAATGTGGTTTCGTTAACGTTAATTGATTTCTTTTCGTCAACATCATTAAACGTTTGTTTCATAATTCCTAAAATTTTTGATTTGTCAGGCACTTTCAAACTTGGATTCGAATCAAATTCCGGTTCGGATTCGCATAAATTCGAATTGGTATCAACATTTTGTTCCGGTTTTTGTTGTTCTATGTTTCCTTTTTCATTTTCTTCGTCTTTTAATTCACTTGGTGTTATTGAGGACGATTCTTTTTTGATGATATCGTTTTCTGTGGAATCAACCCCACTTCCGTGGAGCGAAACCAAATCGGAAAAACTACTATCCGACTCGTAACCGGATTTTGAAACGGAAACTTCGCTTCCACCGCTGTAATCCGAGCAGAGACGTTTTCGTCTTCGGTGTTCGATATCTAAACCGTCCAACAATGTTAGATCTTTTAATTTTCGATGTTTCCCGTTTCGTAAAATTCTCGCTGGTGAATCGGATCTTGTCGAATATGGACTCGATCGTTGTTTTTCAATACTTTGGCGAAACCGCGACATTCGCTTCGATTTTGGACTGATACTTCTTGGGATGTTTGAAAATAAATTTAAGGTTGTTAAGTTTGGATTGTTCGTTTTCGTACAATTTTCTTCGCTGCTGTGCCTTCGATTTGTTACTAAAGTTGTGTTTTTCTTTTGTGTTACGTTTAAATCTAATGTATCGATAACTTTACTACTTTCCATTCTCTCCAAGTTATCTTTTTTTAAATCTTTTAATATGCTAACTTTGTTCAGTTTTTTACGTGGTTTTTCTAACGTATTCTCGACATCCGTTTCCGTTTTGACTTCGTCGTCGATTTTCATGAGGGCCGCCAAATCGCCCATTACCTCATCAATCGTTTCGTCTGTTTTTAATTTTTTCATGGTTTTTTTCTTTTTTGGGAAATCCAATTCGCTTATAATCGAATGGATGGCCTCGTCGACGTCATCATCCTCATTTTTACACTCATCATCCTTCTTTTTATCATCCTCTTTCCCCCGATTTCGTTTCTTCTTCGAGTTTTCATTAACCATACGAAAAATTGGTTCTAAACTCGGCAGTTCTAAATTCGGCGTTGTTGGTTCTTTTTTATTAATAACTTTTCGACTATTAATCCCGTTTTTTAACAACGTCTTTTTTACTTCGGGGAGTTTTAAAATTTTTTTCGCTTTTCGTTGATTTAATTTTTTTACTTTTGGTTTTATACCAATCGTGGTACTTTTAATCACTTTATTCACGGCTTTTCGTTGAATTTGTTTTACCAACGATGATGTGTTACGACTCCTTTGGTTCTTTTGGGTTTGGTTCGTCGTCGTCGTGGTTTCAATAGGTTCAATTTTCAGTACATCATTTTGATCCGACGATGAAGACGACGACGATGATGTTTGGGATTCTTTTTGTTGGGGCACCGGCGACGACGACGTTGTTTGTTGCTTCCTGTTTAGGGATAGCTTTTTCTCCCGAGTTGCCATTTCATTTGTATGGAATTTTTTATATACCTAAGACAAAAAAATAATATATACATATAAATAAACACAATTTTATTTAATTTGAAGTTTAATTAAGATTTGTACATTATTTTTCGTGTAGCTTTGAAGCTATGTAAGTCTGTGCAGAGGATTTGGCTTAAAAGAGTGCAGAACACGCAATGTTTCGTACTGCTACAATATCTTTGATAATTTTATATTATCTTGAAAATTGTGATTGAACCTTGCTTACATCTCATTTCTCTTATTCTATTCTTATTTTATCTTTAACATCAAATCGTAGCACATTGACTGAGAGCAAAGAAAGTAGAGTATGTAAAGTAAGCAATTGGCATTGATTGAGAAGAGTATTTTATTGTTTTATTTTATGATAACAACACGTTCGTATCTCATCTTCAATTGGAACATAATAGTTATCGTCCTCAGCGTGAGTGTCAATTCTACCAAATTGATGGAACCATGATTCATCCATTTGGTAAAATAGTATAGGAAGTCCATAAAAATGAACCAAGAACCTTGTTGATAGCTTCTCAAATTTCTATTTCTGCCCAATACATTTCGTTTAATACAAAATTCGCAATAACCAGGTGATCCTTGTGGTACTGGACTTCCTTTTAATCCGGTTTTACCAGCTCTTAGGAGGACCAACTCCTTTAGGACCAGGTGGGCCAGGTAATCCCCTGGAGAACCTTCAATTAAGATACCTTCACATCCCTTGTTTCCATTTTTACCTGGCATACCAACGATTCCTGGTGTACCAGATAACGAATATCTGGTGCACCAGGTAAACCAACAGAACAAGTGAAGACTAGTAGCTTCAGGTCTCCCGATTTTGACCGTCCCAGTGGTCCTAAGGCCCATAAGATTCGCTGTTAAAGCACCTAATTGTTCTCGTTTTCCAAACATACAATTCAAGGTTTTAAGACAATTAATGGCACGCAGAAAATCTAACACTTTGAAAATTCTTTTGAGAACGCACCTATTTAGCGTGATTGATGACTTTTTCCTGACAACAACGGTAATGTTGTAATGTTTGGATTTTTTGACTGTGATCGTTATTTTGATCATCGTTATCAGATTGTAAATTTAAATTGGAAGTACCACAATGCAAATCTACTTTAAAAAGCTCTTTGATAAGTCACTTATAGAGTTCAAAGTGTTAACATCACTTTCACCATAAACCAACACCCCAAGATGATTTTCTGATTGTTTACTCTTTTCGGAAGATATTTTATTGGAATGTAATGGTTAAGAGGGAAATGATTAGATTATCTCTACAGTTAAGAAGACAGCATCTGTATTCGCTATCTTTTACAGATTTGATAACATTATAACAAGATTTTTATCCCAAAATTTGAATGCATTGATCTATTTCAAACTTTCCTTTTCTATTTGCCATTAAAGTTCCTCTACTTTTCTAGGTTTTGACATCTGCTTTAAGAGATAGAGTTCCACCATTTATTGTTTGGCCTCTAAATACCAAACGACTAGAGGATCTAATGTTGGACTGAAACAAATAAAGGCAAATTGCGAAGATACACCCCGAGTTAATTCTACAGAAAGAGAGAGAAACTTTGAAATGAGTTTGTTGGAATACCCTATAAATATAAAAGCATAATAAATCATTGGTATTGATTCGTTCTCCTAAATCCGTTGATGAACTTGTTCTTGGCCAAAGATATACATAGTATCAGTTCTGGATATGACAACATCTCAAAATCGATATAACCTCATAAAATATTAAAGAGTCTGCTTCAGGAATAACTAGTCTTTTAGATTGCTCCTATTTGATCGTTATTATTAATTATTAATTTCACCGCTCTCCAATCGTTCCACAAGGATCTCATCTCTTCGCTGCATATCTTTTTCTACTATAACATCTACAACGTGAATCTAGACTTATTATACTGATGAGACAATTTTGGTTTTGTACGATGCAGATATTATAACTTCAACTGCATTTATTAAAAACACTTTTCATCTAATTCGTGTCAATCAATACTCCTATTAATACGACCACTATTTCAGTCACATCAACTTGAAAAAATCTCAAGAAGAAGAGGCAGCTGAGGATCAAACTTATCGACTTTGCAAGACACCAAGTCAGAGACTGCTGAACATATTCTGCGTGAATGCGTCGTATAAGGTAAGATGATATCATCTAACAAGGAGACTCTCTGAGCCCGCTTCTGTTTAATATCGTAATGGATGAAATTATAAAACAAATGCGCAAACTAAGAGGATACAAGATGGAAAATAAGATGGTTAATATCCTGTGCTATACAGACGATGCGGTGCTGGTCGCGGAAAACGAGGATGATCTCCAGAGGTTACTGTTCTAGGGTTATTGAGACCGAAGTAAGGAATCAAGCTGCAAGGACAGCGACGTACCTAAATGACACAATATGGCGAACTAAAGCCCGGATATACAAGACCGCAATTAGATCAGTATATGCAGCAGAGGCTCGACCAGAAATATCCAAAACAAAAAGAATGATAGAAATTACAGAAATGAAGATAGTGCGTAGAATAGTTGGATAACATTGATGAACAGGAAAAGAATAGAGAACATCAGACAGGCTTGCAGGATAGATAACATCAATGATTAGGTATTGGACAGAAAGAAGAAATGGAATGAGCACATTGGCCGAATGACAGAAGAACGACTTGTGAAAATAACACGATACAAATCACCATCAGGATGAAAAAGCATTGGAAGACCTAAAAAAGATGAAGCGACAAAAAGACTGACAAAAAATCTTGTCTTGACCATTTTCTGAAGGCTTCCGTCTTGTCTTGCTTCAAGAATTTTGAAAATCTTGATATTTCTTGCTCAAACAATTTGAAAAGGTTGTTAAGCCAATGATTTTCAAACTCCAAATCCCTCAAATAATGAGAACGACGATCCTAAAGACAAAGTGATCGATTTAGATATAATATCTTCATTTTAAAAAAGTAAGGACCCTGCCACTGTGACTGTGAGAGATCTCTGAAGACAAGAAATAGAAAAATATTTAGGGAGACCCCGAGAACATAGTTCTGAGGAGGAATTACTGGATTGATGGAAACGGCATCAACATATTTATCCCGTTTTGTCAAAAATGGCCAAAGACTGTCCGGGAACTCCATCAGAAAGGCAATTTTCAAGAGTTTCGTTAACTATTATTAAGTCTAAAAATAGATAAGGCGTCAATTTTGTAAGAAGTCTAATGTGTCTAAATTAATGGATTCAAAATCCAGATAACGCATAACTTATGCCTAAACACAGAAGGAATAAGAAGATAAGATATGCAATATATCTCCAATTAAAGATAAAAGATCGTATTTCAAGAGATGATTTAAAAAAAATTAACTTTTGATCATATATTTTTGTAGAAAAAGATGCCCCAAAAAAAGTTTCCTAATTAGGTTATGTTTGAATTTAGCACAAATTGAAGATATTGAAAAATTACCTTAATTTGGGTAAAGATAAATATAGTTTATTTTTTTTCTATAATACCTGTCAAATTGTTGTAAAGTTGGCAAAATTAACAGGGAGTTTTGTTTTATTATGTTTTGAAGATATGTCACACTGACGTTTGAGCTTTCGTTATTCAAAAAGAAAAGGTGCATAAAAAACGCTTTTACAACAAATATGTACTTCGTTAAAATCGTATTTATCTAAAAATTTATTAGTATTTTAACCTCAACTATTTAGTTATTGAAAATGTTACTAAAAATCAGGAAAACAACATAAATTTTATAAGGGTCCTAGATAATACCAACAGAAACCCTAAAAAATTTACATTGATAAGTATTATAGAAAAAAACGAACTATAACATTTCTCAAATTGAACAAAATATGAAGTTGGAAAAGGGTAAAACTTATATATCTCAAATTAAAGCTGAAAATGATATTTTGCATCGAATTGAAGCTGGTTTGTACTTGCAAGAAAGCAACATTTTAATGTCTTACAATTAAAATGACAAATTAATGATTATTCATGAAAGTATCCACCCAAAAATTCTTTTAACATGAATACGTTAATCCATTTCAATTTAAATGATTAGAACCATTGTAATGCAGTCTTAAATAATTTTATCTAAGCAGTAAATAAATAGCTCGTTATCTATTTGAATTTCCTGACAATGTTTTTTTTTTAACTTTTAGTGTTGGAGTGCAAAAAAGAGCGCCGTACGGCGGTTATGTCTCCTAACTACCAAACGGAAATAAAACAGCGAGTGTCAGCGCCCCCTACTAATAGCGGTCGGCGACAGGATGTGGCCCCACTCTCCAAGTCCGGGGGCTCCTGTCCCGCTACCGGAGCGCCGAGCCGAGCGCCTAACTCATTCTACAAGGCGAAAAAATATACCGAACAACACGATCTACGTTTTAAGGAGACTTCATCGTAATGAAATTAAAAAAAATCGGAGAGTATACAGACCACCACGGGTTTTCTAGGTTATTCTAGATTTTGTTGTTTTATAGAATCGCGTTACGGAAAACCAAAAGGAAATACAATAAACATAAAAATGACTATAACAAGAAGAATTAGATAAAAAAAGTAGGCATTGAAATGAAAATCGAATTAGAATGGAAGTTGATGAAGTTGGTATCGGCGATTTAGATGACGCGAAAAACTGTCGTCGTCCGAGTACAACCACACACAACAAAGCGAAAACGGGTGACCTGTTAAGCAATTTCCTTTCGGGTTTTAAAGAGACCGAAAATACGGCTGTAATCCTTATATTTTAGGTTATAACCGGCCGAGATTTAATCGACGCCGTTTGGCGTACCTCGCGGTTTGGAAAAACGGGGTTTTCAACGGGGGCGGAAGTGGGGTTTTTACGCTAAAAAATAATGTAGCAATCTCGAGGGTTACTTACGTTGCCCTGTGATTCCGTGTCGCACAACGCCACCTATACTATTCGGTGCGTCGCCGTTTGTTTCGCTATTCCCAACCAAAAAGCACGTATTCACCGGGACCGGACGAACTCACCCGAACGGGCGAACGGTTCGAGACACGAACACGCCGCCTGCTATTATTTCGCTGCGCCCAGTTTCTCGACGATATTTTCACACTTTTCACCGATCGAAATCGTTGGGTTACTTTATTTTACGATCAGGAAATGTTTGGGCTTTATTAAAATAATAATTTTATATGCTTCATTAACGAGCCTAATCAATTAAAAATTAGGAACTAGGTTGGCTTAGTTGGCTGTGGTTTATTGTCAGGAATGTAGGAAAGACTAAGTTCTGAATATCGCCGCTAGGGAATTAACTACATGATATATTATTATTACCCGTATATCGGTGTACCAATATAATTATATATTCATACATAATTTTTATTTCATTTCTTTATTTTCTTCGTTTTTAATATTAATATTGTTATTTAAAGCTTTTTAGCTTTAATTATTAAGATCCCAGCTTCCATGCGACGTTGCCAATTTTAAGAGGGGTGTTTAGAAGGGGATGATGAAACATAAAATAGGGATAAAGAAATTTAGGAAAAATAATATATAAAGCTTAGAACTTAGAACGTTCTAAGTTTTTAAGATGTAACTTTAAATAATTTTAATAATGTAAGCTTTGAAGATGGCTATTAGCCGAAATTAGTAAGATTCATGTTTTTTATTTAATAAGCTTTATATGTTATTTCTGGTAAAATGGATTTCGAATATAATTCTCTACATAAAGAAATTTAACAAATAATTTGAATTAAATAGTTTTTTATTTATACATTTTTCGAACGTTTACACATAACTTATTCGTTTTTTCTTCTCGATATCGAAATTGTATATGTTACACTTAAATACGTAAATATCTACAAGATCTTTCTAAAGATTCAATTTTTTTCTGGTTCGTGTTTTCTACAATTATTTTTTCTTGCACTTTACAATCCCTACATTTTAGTTTATTTTTCTGGTCAACTACTTTTTTTTTGTTCAATAGGAATATAGTTTATTCAACAATTAAGTACCCTATTTGTTTCGCTTGTTATTATTTTCTTAGTTCAAGGGTGGGTTACTCAAAATCTTCGTTAAAAAATTCTTTTTCTTAACGAAGATTTTCTCTTTTGGTATAAAATACATCGAAAAGTCCCGAAAAATACTATTTTATTTTAATGCGTGTGTTAGCTTAGTTTATTAATTAATTTGAATTAATCGTTTATGAATAGGTTTATACAGGTGAGTTTTAAAATATCGTAAAAATGAGTACAATATCTTCAGATTTTAATAAAATAATTAGTATCTACGCGTAGCAAGTTAACGCTTTAATAATTTATTAACAAAATAAATTAATACAATTTCTTTGAAGCTGGAAATAAAAAATTTATATTCTCTAAAATCAATAAATACAACTTTTTCAAGGCTAGAATTAACACAATTTTGACAGAGAAATGTTATGTTAGGAATTAAAAAGAGAAAGAAATATAAAATCGTGTACAACAGAAAAAGATAAGTATTTTAAACGTCATCCGTCACGGAGTCTTCCAAAACTAATTTATCTACATGTTCGGTCTCATTTATAAGATAATCTTTGAAATTATATATAAGGGCTGTTTTTCTTTCAATGATTTTTTTTAAATACTGGTGCAAAATTGCCAAGATCAAAGAAAGGACGTCTTTATGTGCTTCATCGACTATGAGAAGGCATTTGATAACGTTAAATACAATTTTTTGATAACATACCTTAGACATCTGAGATTGGATGCAAAGGATATAAGACTAATTCGTAATTTATATTGGCACCAAAAAGCGGAAGTGCGAGTAAATAACGCTGGCATGAAACGGAATCTGCATGGCACTTTAAGAAGAAGAATCAAGTTTACTGCTCTCGGCTCTTGAGAGAATGTAGTCGAGGTCGTTTAAAGCCGAGACTTTTTAATCGACACCTTCAACAATAAATCGCGTCTAAACGAATTCTATCCAGCCAATTTTTTTGTATTTAATCATTACTCGTGTTGATTTCTTTCTGCATAATTTGTAATAAAACTTAATGCGTGTTAATTATATTACATTTATTTATTTTTCGTAGGAATTCACTGGAAATCTCGAATTTCAAGAGTACTCCTAACGTATCAAAACGGATGACCAAAGAAGATATTTTCAAGAATCAATGCCAAGAGGATGGCATCGATCAAATGAAGGGTAGGAAACATTCCACAGTTTTGGTAAGTAACCATATTACATCCTATTTTAGCTTTGTATACTGCAGACTGTGTAGATTGTATTTTATCGTTTATTGATCGAGCTCAAACATGTTTGCGGGAAAATTCCGTTTAACAAACACTCAACATCGTTTTTTTATTCGATGTAGGTACCATTCGATTGTAAAATTTGTTAAAATGACCTGATTTAGAGATTCATGTAGTTTTAATTAGATGATACGCCTCAATATTTTGGCGAAATATCCGTGCTTATTAAAATAGCAATTTGGATAATTGGGGGATTGTGAAAAACTTAACTTATTATCACAAATAATATCCATCATATAGAACTCTGACCAAACGTGTATTCGGTATTGTTGACTTGAAGTAGCCTAAAGAAGTTAAAGCTAATATCAATTTAGGTTGGGTTAGGTTTCCTCGTGAAATTTCATTCAACATTTTACGTAAAAACTCGGGTTTTGCAACCTCAAATCGGGACGTTACAAGATTAGTGTGAAGGACACAGATCGCGTTAAAATAGCCTTTACATCACCATTTGATATCTTTTTTTGTGAGGTATTGAAGTACTATAAATAAATCTCTCTAACTTTATCGCAACTTATTTTACAACACAACCAGGCAGGAAAGATGGTGCGTTAACACCTACAGATGCCAGGGATTACTGCTGTTACCTATTATTTCATACTATCAACATAAAGAGTATAGCAAAAGTATAAAGTATCAAAGTTACAAAGCAATCAATCAGAAACTGGCTTTGCTCAAAGGAAAAGCTCAAAGTTTGCTGTAAATTGGTAAAATTGTTTGGATTAAAGTGGAATTCTGTGGAAGAATGTGTCAAAATGTAATAACCTTTGGATAAATCGTATGATGCTGCTAATTTATGAGTAATATCGAGTTATAGGAGCTCGCCAAAGTTTATACTTTTGTATTGTTTCCAAACTAAAGAATAATTCAAATTTGAAATTAATAGCCAGACCATGAACACGACGACTTCTGCGAAGACCTTAAAAAATGTGCATAGTACATCAACATCTCAAGAGAACTGATGAGTTGAAAATTACAGCTCTAAATCCTGTAATATGTAGAACAAGAAAAAATTAATTGGTCATATTGGTTCACATTATTCAACATTATTTCAAGAAAGGAGTTTTAAAACTCTTCAATTATTACTGTTAGAACGAGTAACTGATGCAGTGGTAGCTGCAAAAAAAAATGAATTGACACTATTTCAGTGGAGCTGGAGTAGATTGCTTACTGAAATGAGTGCACATTATTCCAGAGGAATTCCAGCACTGGTTTCGATCACTGGACTAGAATACTATTGGAATAATGTGAACCGGGCATAAGACTGGCACCTGGATGCTGGGTTTTCCTTATTTTCGATTAAGGGTTACAAACCTCAGATAATGTTTAACTCCTTCCTTTAATTAGAGAAGTTGATATCAGAAATACTCCCATTTCTACAATAACTCCAATATTGAACAAAATACCTGAAGCAGCATCCAGCGTACTTAACGTAGTGTAGATAGTAGTATAGATAAAAAATCTGGAACACTCGGAATAGGAGTTTTGTATATTCTTATTATGTTAGTTGTAGTTAATGGTGCAATACCAGGTGGTTTTGAAAACATATGGGAAACAAGGCCAAAAAATGTCGAAAAAAAGATGTCTCCTTTTCGCTCTACGTCGGAGTGAATGCTGTTTCAGTGCGTCTTGATTATGAACAATAACGGGTTTACAACAAGGATAAGGAAATATTGTGATATACTGAGTCAGTAAGATAAAGAAGATTCTAGTTAGAATATGTGATGTCCAGGCAACAGCAAAAGCTGCAAAAACATCAATTGGTGTTAAATCTTTCCTTTGGCGAAGAGATGTTGATTGCAAAACAGTAATATATAGATTAAATAGGTTAAAAATAGCTATATTAGAGAAAAAGCTCCCGTTTCATAAATGTTTTAGAAATAATAGAAGTTGAAGATGTGTTTTAAAGTATATGATGTGTCCAGAATGTCTTCAAAGTGCTCAATTTTGCCAAAAACGTAATGGAAAGGCTACTGAATAAATTAAATTAGTTGCAATATACCTATAAATATTTTGTATAAATTTCGCATTTTAAAGTTTTAGCCCAAATTTTCAGAACTGGACAGGTACAGAATGTATACATACCCAATTAAGGATTAGTCTATGTTATCTACTATAGATATCATAATAATAGAAGTGTGGTTAAAAAAATTTAAACCACAACGTTATCACCACAACTGCGGCTCTCTTGGGTTGTTCATGATACTACTCTAACAATACCGTTTGTAGCAGCAGGTTTGTGCAAATTATAATAAAAGGACGGAAATGAGATATTTTCGGAAATAAGTGCTATCTCTCAGTATTAAGTAAATAAATGACAATGTGACGTAACAGATTGCAAAACAATATAAAAAATATATCAAAATAAATAAACTGGTCACAAAACAATATACGCTGTCGATTTTACTTATTGAATTGACTTTTTGAACTTTTTGAGCTAATGACAAAGTCAGAATGTTGCCATCAAACTTTCTAACGTTGAGAAATGATGCTTTAGAATTGAATATCCTTGGTTTTAAGGAGCTGGAATTGAGTGGACACCAAAGTTAAACAAACAACTTTCTTCATTACAATTTTACAAATTTCCTGATAAGCTACCCAGGGTGAATATTACATTATTTCTTCAGATAAATTTAGTAAGATGTAGTTGAACTAAATATTATTTAGCGGAATTTAGAAATGTACTTCTTAACACTTTAGATTTATGCTGTTATTGTGGATTTTTCGATTTCTTTTATTTACTTCTGAAGATATTCCAACAAATTTTACCCATTTTTACGATTTTATGATTGATTTTTACTAATAAACTAAAAAAAAAGGATAAAATAATACGTTTAAGGTAGATTTCGTTGATTTCACGTTCTCCGAGTTTAAATAATTTCGATTTTTTTAAATTAAATCCTACCTCCCTTTATATTGCACGATAAATTACTATTTTTAATAGAACGTATACAAATATTTACATGCAGAGTGTTTATTCTTTTTTTGAGTTTTCTTAAAAATTCTTATCGATTTTTGCGAGGAAGTATTTCCGATGTATTTGCTTTATTCGAATTAAAACATATTATTATACATTTTTTGAAAAAGATAAAAATTATATTCGATGAACGTTTTCTGATTTGTACCATTTTTAGACCATTTTTTTTTAAATTTTATATCGTTGTCTTTTTTACAATTAGTGTCTTTTTCTATATTGTTCTTTTTTTGCTAATACATCGTAAAATACAAATCGTGAACAGAAAAAACGATTCTTTCATAATCTTTTAGACATTTTTTAAATTCCTTATAATTAAAGTTTATTTTTAGCCTTTTTATTTTTCGATTACGTTTAATTTATAACTGTTAATCAAAACGGTTTAAAAAAATAGGTTTCTAAAAGAATTTTGTAACGTGATCGAGCATTCAATACAGAAATAAATACTTCTTGGAATGTTCTGGTAAAAGTCACGATAAGATAAGAAAGGAATATGACGTCATTATCTCACTATTACACATAAAACTTGAGCGTTTCAAGAACAAAATCTTCATGTTGATAGCCATTTACAATTCCTTTGTTAATTTATTCGAATTAAAAAAAAATCTCGATTTTTCAATTCACGTTTGGTTTTTTAGCATTTTTTCGTTAACTTAGCTTTAATTTCAATTTATCATACAAAAAAGAAGAAAAAAATCAGCACTCTACCAATTAAGAACTATTTATATCATTTTAAGTAGGAAATATCAGTAGTAGTAATTAATTAAGTAGTAAATATATTATTACTTGTTAAATCACACGTACTTATAAGTGTCCATTTTCTTTAAGATTCCACTTTCACCCTTTACAATTTTACAACATACAAAAAAAAATTAAAAATCCCAAAAAGAATAAAAACAAAAAAAAACTCATTTATCAAAACATATTCTCCGACTTCACCATCTCCTGGTGGTGAAGATTATTCGCGTTTGCGTCACTTCCGGGCCTCACATGCAACATGATCCCATGATGAAGTAACTTTGCGTTGTGTTCCTGAGCTTTCGCCCTTAAACAAGCTATCGAATTGTTCCGGAACGCTTCCGGATCGTCTTGATAAGGAGTCTGATTATTAGCGCTTTGTTGTTGTTGATTCGATGAGTTCTGTTGATTCGAAGATTGTTGTTGTTGGTGGATTTGAAGGTCTTTTTCGAATGTGGTCGGCGTCGCGGAAGACTGTTGCTGCTGTTGTTGAACCGACGTTTTTGACGTTGAATTAACCGAACTTGCGTCGCTATTTTCCGTTCGCATCGACGTCGTTGATTCTTCATGGTCGCTGTTACTGTTACAATTATCGTCTTTTAATTGTTCGGCTGCTTCTAACGATTTTCGATGCATTCCTGAAATTATTTCAAAAAGAAAAAATATAAATATTAGTAAAATTGAAATGAAAAATGTATAAGGTTTTACATTAAACAAATATATGAATTTCTTAAATTATCTAAATTTTAAGGTTTACTATTATTACAATTTAAAATACCTAAAGTACACATGCAGCATCTTATTTTAGCATTCATTAATCGCTTGGTGGACAATTTCGAATCAACTGGTTCAGTAAATAATCAAATAACACTCTCACGTTGTTTAAACAAGTCTGCAAAAAACATTGCTGCAGATCTCAACTTGGCAAATTTTAGGAAAATTTTGCATTGTGACTTGTGGCGAGTCATATGAAGTCAGTTATTTCTTTTTCTTTATCAGTAGATAACTCTGTAGATTACTTTTTATCATTTTTTGCCCTTCTATGGTCCCTACTTTTAAATAGAGGATTAGCCTTTTTGCTCTGGAGCAACTTCAGAGCAAATTTCTATTAGCGTAAGTTTAGGATTTTCTAAAATTCAATTAAGACTTTTATGAACAGCACGCGTTTCCAAAGGTTTTTACAGCATTTCTTTTTATCCAAACGATTTTTAAGCATTTTCAGGGATATTTGACGCTTTCTAGAGGTTTAGGAATGTTTATGGAATTTTAGGGATATTTAAATATATCCAAGGATTTTTAGAAGAATTTCGTGGAATTTTAATGATTTCCAGAAATATCTGTAATTTTGAATTATGTTCCGATTAAAGACTCTGCAAGAATTTGGAAGCATTACGAATGACTGTTCAGGGATAGTTGGGTTATTTCAAAAATATACAGAAAGTTCTAAAGTTTATTAAAGTCTTTTCGTTTAGATTTTCAAAGGATTTTCAGTGCATTTGTATGGATCTCCAAGATCACTAAGATATTTCCATAAATTTGGAGCAATTTTAGATATAAATAAGTAATCTCAGGTTTTGAAGAGAATTTTTATAGGTTTTGACAAGATATTCAGAATTTTGAAAGAAATAAGGGAGCTACTAAGAATTTCTAGGCTTATAGAAGGATTTCTCATAATTTGTAAAGATTTCTATTGATATACAAGATTTTCAAGATTGCCAAGAATTTTTAATGTATTTGTAGGCTTTTCCAAGATTATTCAGAGATTAAGTTTAGAATCGTTTCTATGAATTCCTAAAGTTTTCTAAAAATCTTTTCGTATTTCTAGATATAATGCAGTTAAAAATTCCAAAGGAAATTTTCTAAGGATACCTAGGGATATTGAAGGATTCTGGATCTTTAACCATTTCCAGGGATTTCTAACGATATATAGGAATGTCAATGGATTTTCAGACATATTTAAGTATTTCCAAGTATGCCTACTGATTTTTAGATGTCTAAGTACGATTTTTCAGGGATTTATTTGATAATTGATGATTTATACATGCACTTTGTTACTTTGGTGTTTGTCTGATATAATTTGTATTAAAACTTTGATTTGGACAGGATTTTCAAGAATTCTAAAAGAAATCAGAGAGCTTATAAGGATTTCTAAACTTCTTGAAGGATTTCTCATAATTTGTAAAGATTTCTATTGATATACAAGATTTTCAAGATTGCCAAAGAATTTTTAATGAATTTGTAGGGTTTTCCAAGATTACTCAGAGATTAAGTTTAGAGTCATTTTTATGAATTCCTAAAGTTTTGCAAAAATGTTTTCGTATTTCTAAATATAACCAAGTCTTTTAAGAATTCCAAAGGAAATCTTTTAAGGATATCTAGTGATATTGAAGGATTCTCGATCTTTAACAATTTCCAGGGATTTTTAACGATATATAGGAATGTCTATGCATTTTCAAACATATTTAAGTATTTCCAAGTATGCCTACTGATTTTTAGATATCTAAGTACGATTTTTCAGGGATTAATTTGATAATTGATGATTTATATTATCCACTTTGTCACTTTGGTGATTGTTTATAGGCGATTGTCATTCTAAATTACTTCAAGTTTAATCATTTGCTGATTACTCATAATTTCCTCGAATTTGTTAATATCGTAAATCGGTTTCGTTTGTTAACAGTTATATATTATAATCATATTTAAGAAGATTTAATCAATATCAAAGTTAGAAAGAGATTTTAAAATCTTCCTTAAATTATTTACTTAAAAATCTAGTTATTAAACATAAATATAAAAATATCTTTTGGTTATAATTTCTAAGTCTCATTTTTTGGAAGCTTATCAAAGTTGGGTTTGTAATCGTATAACGTCATATTAACGTATTATATCTTATCTAAGTATATTAGATCTATTTTCGTTGCTAAACAACATTGTAATAATAGAATAATTTTTTTAGTTTGAAAACGAATTTGATTTTAGTTATTTCGACTTATTTTATGAGAAGAAAGTTAACAAGGGTTTGTGGGTGCGGGTTGAAAATTTGTTTGATGTCTCTTTATGTCCCTCTATGATAGATGGTGATGTAATGATGGGGAATATTCGTTTCCAACCGTTCGTTTGGCACAAAACGAACTTTGAGGGTCAGACGACCATTCGGTTGCACGGTTCTATTTATACATGTAGCGAGTTTTAACCGACCTATACGGTTTGTCCTGGGAGTGTTTAAATTATAACGATCGGTTTAAATTCGATTGTATTCCAATATAAATAGATTATTTTTCATGGAGAAACAATTTTTTTACCATATAATTGATTTTAACCTCTTTCTATATAATGATTATGAACTTAATTTAAAACATTTAATTTATTACAGTAAAATCTCGATATCGTTAATTCAATCTTCGGGAAATTTGCTGAAACTATATAAGACCATCAGTATACAACAACCACAATGTTCTGGGTATAGGATCCAGGATTATATCTATGCGAGAATAAGTAAATCTTACGAGTTGTAAAAATTTATTTTATTTTAGGTCAATAATACAGTTGTGACCCTATGGAGGAGCGAAAATCTTAGTCATTACTAGCAACGACTAGGAAAGTACATTAGGACAAACCATGTTGTTGGCGATAAACCATCAAATGCGCTAACCTACACAAATTAACTCTCTTTCTTGCACTTATTTTTCTTTTCTGGAGAAACAACGACTGAAATAGCATCTACAGGTGTTTCTGTAAGTTATGGCATAATTTTAATCACAAATACTAGAGTCAAAATAATGACGATTCGTGTAAAAATGTTTGGTTTAAACTAGTGGTGGAACGAATATCCGGCAACTATCCGGTACCGGCCTATCCGGCCATTTGTTAAAATCCGGCCGGATACCGGATATTAAAAACCTATTACTTAGTACTCCACCATTCACAGGAATTAATATCTCTTTTAGGTGTTGGACGCTGCAGATAATAATAATCAAGTTCAACCCCAATAGGACTTTTTTCATTGAATACAACTTTATTTATATTAGGTTTATCATTAGCAACCCCATTAACAATCCCAATACCATATATAAAATCTCTTGTTGCAGTTTCGTCTAGTTTTCTTCTCTTCGCTTGTAATTCATCATCACTAACAGAACTGTCGATGTTATCACTTTCGATTATTAATTAAAGTGTCCCCTTTTTAATGCAAAAAACCGTTTTGAAAAACCGGTTAAGAAAATCGGTTTTTCACCGATTAAGTTTTAAAAATTCATATAAAATCCAGTTCTTGGAATATGAGTATGAAAATTTCTCAAAGTGTTAATAAAAGTATAAGTTATAAATCCCTTATATTGCTATTTTGCTATTTTTATTTTTATCTTAACATAATAATTTTTGGACATTTGAATTTAAATTTAACAATAGTTTAACCGGTTTTTTATTCTCCTCCACGTCGACGTTGAAATCTTGCCTCGAAACTTGTTTTACATGTCGCCATTACACGACTTTTAATTCTGCAGAACGTTTGTCTAATTTGTTAAATGTGTTTAACGTATATATAGTGAATTTAATATTGTTTTAATAAGTAATAATTATGAGGTTGAAGTTAATTACAATGTTGGTTTCTTAAATTTTGACTGTAAGTACTTTTCATAAATTTTTACATTTTCAATTTCAATATTAAGTCTTTTAAATAGTTCAGAATTTTATTATTATATGTTACATTTCTTGTAGTTTATCTCTGAAGATGGTGTTTTGAACCGAAACTAGTCAGATAAATAAATTTAATAAATTTTAACCAATTAAAAGTAGAGAATTATCACATTTAATTTCAAACCTTTGTTAATAAAAGTGTCTTCTTTCCAAAGACCCGACCCAGTTTTTAGTTTTTGAGAAAACAATATTTGAAGTTTTGATAAAATTTTCGATGCTGCAAATTTCATCGATAACTTTCAAAATTCGCTATAAAATTCATTTTTTAATTCATCCTTCTGGAAATATCACCAATTATTAATTAAAGTATCCTCTTTTTAATGCAATAAGCTGTTTTGAAAAATCGCTTTTAGTTTTTGAGAAAAAATTTTTGAAATGATCGACAATTTTTTCGAATTTTGCAATTTTCACCGATTAAGTTTTAAAAATTCATATAAAATCCAGTTCTTGGAATATGAGTATGAAAATTTCTCAAAGTGTTAATAAAAGTATAAGTTATAAATCCCTTATATTGCTATTTAGCTATTTTTATTTTTATCTTAGCATAATAATTTTTGAACATTTGAATTTAAATTTAACAAGAGTTTAACCGGTTTTTTATTCTCCCCCACGTCGACGTTGAAATCATGCCTCGAAACTTGTTTTACATGTAGCCATTACACGACTTTTAATTCTGCAGAACGTTTGTCTAATTTGTTAAATGTGTTTAACGTATATATAGTGACTTTAATATTGTTTTAATTAGTAATAATTATGAGGTTGAAGTTAATTACAATGTTGGTTTCTTAAATTTTGACTGTAAGTACTTTTCATACATTTTTACATTTTCAATTTCAATATTAACTTGTAAGTCTTTTAAATTGTTCAGAATTTTATTATTATATGTTTCATTTCTTGTAGTTTATCTCTGAAGATGGTGTTTTGAACCGAAACTAGTCAGATAAATAAAATTTAATAAATGACTAGTTAAAAGTACAGAATCACATTTAATTTGAAACCTTTGTTAATAAAAGTGTCTTCTTTCCAAAGACCCGACCCGTTTTGAAAAGGAGTTTTTAGTTTTTGAGAAAACAATATTTGAAGTTTTGATAAAATTTACGATGTTGCAATTTTCATCGACAACTTTCAAAATTCGCTATAAAATTCATTTCTTGAAGGATCCTTGTGGAAATATCACCAATTATTAATTAAAGTATCCTCTTTTTGAGGCAACAAGCCGTTTTGAAAAATCGCTTTTAGTTTTTGAGAAATAAATTTTTGAAATGATCGACAATTTTTTCGAATTTTGCAATTTTCTCCGATTAAGTTTTAAAAATTCGTATAAAATCCAGTTCTTGGAATATGAGTATAAAAATTTCTCAAAATGTTAATAAAAGTGTCTTCTTTCCAATGAACCAACCCGTTTTGAAAAATAGCTTTTAGTTTTTGAAAAAACAATATTTGAAGTTTTGATTACATTTTCGATGTTGCAATTTTCATCGATAAATTTCAAAATTCACTATAAAATTAATTTCTTGAAGGATCCCTGTGGAAATATCACCAATTATTAATTAAAGTATTCTCTTTTTAATGCAACAACCCGTTTTGTAAAATCGCTTTTAGTTTTTGAGAAATATATTTTTGAAATGATCGAACATTTTTTCCAATTTTGCAATTTTCGCCGATTAAGTTTTAAAAATTCGTATAAAATCCAGATCTTGGAATATGAGCATGAAAATTTCCCAAAGTGTTAATAAAAGTGTCTTCTTTCCAATGAACCAACCCGTTTTGCAAAAAAGTTTTTAGTTTTTGAGAAAACAATATTTGAAGTTTTGATAAAATTTACGATGTTGCAAATTTCATCGATAACTTTCAAAATTCGCTATAAAATTCATTTTTTAATTCATCCTTCTGGAAATATCACCAATTATTAATTAAAGTATCCTCTTTTTGATGCAATAAGCCGTTTTGAAAAATCGCTTTTAGTTTTTGAGAAATAAATTTTTGAAATGATCGACAATTTTTTCGAATTTTGCAATTTTCGCCGATTAAGTTTTAAAAATTCGTATAAAATCCAGTTCTTGGAATATGAGTATGAAAATTTCCCAAAGTGTTAATAAAAGTGTCTTCTTTCCAACGAACCAACCCGTTTTGAAAAATAGTTTTTAGTTTTTGAGAAAACAATATTTGAAGTTTTGATAAAATTTACGATGTTGCAATTTTCATCGATAATTTTCAAAATTCGCTATAAATATCCGGCTTTTCGCAAAATCACTATCCGTTCCATCACTAGTTTAAACCCATAAATGGATAAGATATAGGAAATCAAAGTTAAGACATTTTTAAACATTCTCTTAAATATATTCAATATGGTTTGTCTTAGAACATTAAAATTTGGTAAACATGTTATCATGAGAAATCGTTTAATGTAAAACTAGAACTAACTCTAGACCTAGAAGTAGAAACATTTGAATGTTTCTAGTTCTAGTTTTAATTGTTCTTCAGCGTTAAATTGTTATATATTTTTATTGAACTGAAACTAGAGAATCCCCGTAGTAATCGTGCTTTTACTGTATTAATTTTCGTTTAAATTGTTAAAAAACAATTTTTTCTTTTAATATTATTCAAGAGATGTCCTTGTTGATGCCTGTTCGGTGGTGCCACCAAGCGACAATTTGAAAGAACTACGTAGTAAACTTAGTTGGAGTTCTAGCGGGGGTTTGATGAACTTTATTCTTTTAAATTTTTTAAGAATTCTTTTGTATTTTAACCGCTCCTTAAAAATTAAAAATATGTAAGAAATAAGACATACAGTCATTACCTAAGAGCCACGGTGCCACACACTCGTTCTCCTTGGCACTTTTCAGGATCGTCTCGGGTAAAGGTAGCGAATGCCTAACCATCGCCCCATAAAGTCCATATTCAGCCATAATCGTGCTTCTTCCCCAACATTTTTCTGTTTTTCTCCATTTCGCCCTTCGATTTTGAAACCAAACCTGAAAAGAAAAATAAAGAAACTTAATTTTTTTTAAATTTAAAATTTAACAAATATATATATCATCAAGGTTTCTTTGTTAAGGCGTTCAGTTTGTAATAACTTTAACAGATTGCGCTACCAGTAGCCGTTATAACGGACCTTGAACAGGTAAACGTACATCAAAACCAACAAAAACAAGTACTTAGTGCATAAATTACCGCATATAGTGGTTAAAAGCAATACAAGATATCTACATATACGTAGTTTTATATCTATTTATAGATCGAGTTTATGCAATTTATACACGCGCCTCGATTTTAATATCGAAAACCGTTCGTTGAATAATGAATGTGTAGCTGCTTTTTTTAAAACATAAATATTAATGAATGTTGGAAATTAAAAGAACGTGGAAAATGTTTATATATTTTAATTAAAAAAATATTTTTTTGTCATATATTTGAAGCTTTATAATTATGGGTACTCGTTATTTTTGGTTTTAAATGAAAACTCGGCTTTTTTTTTTAATTTAAACAGAAACGTTCGTAATTGTTGCACACAGTTCGTTTATTTTGATATTCGATTACAAAAGAAACTAAAAACGACCGTTATTTTCTCTCTCAAAAACAAAATTTAATTATTTTGTTTTTGTGTTGTTTTGATTTTCATTATTTTTTGTTGGTTTCGGTTTTCTTTATTTTTAATAATTAAACATTTCTTATTTTGATTGCAATATACAGTGTGTCCCAGGATAAATGTTACAAGAGGTATGACTTAAAAAATTTTGAAATTTATTTTAAGGCTAAGGAATTAAACCCTGCTTGGTGTGAAGAGAATTTTACGAATATTTTCATATTTTGAAAACAACAGTAATCTTTTTGTTCATGATACTGAAAAATTTTATTAAGAAAAGTTGTTCAAAATGAGAAATTATGGTCCTATACCAAATTTCAGAAGGATCTATCTACTTTGGTTGAACCATCACATTTTAGTTTAAATAACATAAATATTGTATAGTAATTGAAAGGTGAACTAAAACTGAGGGATAATACAATTTATTTGTCAATATTTGCGACTACTTAAGTCATTTTTTTTTCATGGCATTGTCATTGTTTTTTTTTCTTCACTCTGATCTAATCTAAAATATGGTGGTTTAATTAATCTAGGTAGATCTTTTTGAAATTTTGCATAGTGCCATAATTTCTCATTCTGAATAACTTTTCTTGAAATTAATTTTTATAAATTTAATAATTAAATTTAATTCCTCAGCCTTGAAATAAAATTCAAACATTTTTAAGTCATTATACCTCTTGTAACATCTATCCTGAGACACACTGTGTAATATTTTCAGTTATAACATGAGAAGTTGTTTGAAACGTTCAAAATCCGGATATAAATAGAATATTAAAATTCAATTGAGATCCGATTATGTTGCGGATGAGAGGGAGGGTTTGAACAGGCGTGGTGTGTATCTGTCGAAGGCTGTCAGTTGCCAAAAAGGGGTTCTAACACGTTCGACGGAAAACGGGGGTGGAAACGGTGTTGAAGCCGACGGCAGCTACAGCGACCCGGGGGCGCGAATACCGGGGTCCTTGGAAATCCGTAATTCCGCGGGACAATGGAAACGATTAGCCCCACGCCGAGCGGGCCGTTACAGAATTAATTAACAAATTAAATTAGAAATTAACTCGTCGAATGGGAAAGCGGTCGGCGGCGAACGCTCGCTCGCGCGCGCGCTACCCCCCGCACTCGCAATCCCCCATCATCCCCAAACTATTGCCAACTCAATATTTAACTAGGTTGATTATAAACTTTAAACCCCGGGTACCCGAGGATTAAAACCTTTAGGGTTAAACTTTAGTTTTGTATTAAAGGTACCTAACCCAATCTATTTCCTATAATTTCAAAGTTAAATCAACTAATGGGTATAATAAAATTAAGGTGGTATTGTTGCTCATTATATTTTATTGTTTAAAATGTATTTTCAAGATCAAGATTTAATTTTATTAGCTTTGCCAACACTTCTTTTATATTCATTTCATTGCTTTCATCAACAAAGAGACTTATTTTTTGTGTTATAAAACAAATTATAAGATACAACAGAAAAAATTCCGCCGGGTTATATTATATGATATGTAGTCAGATTGTTCAGAGGCATTTAAACTACAATTTTCAATTTATCATCCTAGGTATCACAAAACTAAGATAATCTACTATACTAATACCTGGACTGACAGCTCATAGATGGCACAACTCTTAAAGTTAACACGAAAAATTCAGAGTTGTCGCCCTTTGCTGTACTCATGTATTTAAGGGCTAAAACTTGTATTAAACTAGTATGTAAAACTCATAGTGATGTAAGGTGTTGATTATAATTGGAAATCTATCAAAACGAAACTAATTGGCAACACTTAGCAGCCATTTTTATTATTAATAATCGTTGAACGAAATACATGGTCTAGTTAACTCACAAAATAGAATTGTTATCTCCTCTCGATTCAACAACAACTCCTTCAGTCACCACTGACTTAAATCCTTACACGCTATTTACATCTTTTCCTATTTCTGATTTCCAGACTCAACCCAATGTGAGATACATTCTTTTGTGTCCTCATTCTAATTGCTAATATGTAGCTTTTTCCAAATATCTGAAGATGACACGTACATTGGTTTCGTTAATTTCGACGATTATGATAAGAATTAATACGTAATTCTATATGTATCAACTGTCATAAAGCAGTTTCCGATTGAAGTATACAGAGTTAACGATTTTGCTAATATACAGGGTGTGTCAAATGTCTGGAATATAGCCAATAACTTCGCCACTGGTGGTTTTAAAGAAAAATGTTTCAAATACAAGTATCATTATTAATCGTGACGCATTTTTTGTCGGTATTTGCTTGTTTGTATTGTTTTTTGTTTCGTTGCTATGGCAACCAATATTGTTATTTTAAATGGGATGCATGTTTTTTTTGCATACTTTGATAGAGGATAAGTCTCTGTATACGATGAACATATCAAATCATATGATTGTATAAGAACAAATGCGTTTTCTGAAAATATTAAATCAGTAATTTACAATCAAAGTAGGCACCGAAATAACGCAGTTGACAGCTTTAAATGTCAAAAAATGACAGTTTCAACAATTATGAACAATTAATAATGTATGGGTACGGTGACACACATTTAATGTAGTTTCGTTCACTTTTTGGAAGGTTTTTAACACTTTCGGTGTTAAGGAATCTTTTTAATATTTTGCATTCTGTGGATTTTGTATTATCCGGGTAAATATTATTGAACAGTGTACAAACTTAACTTTGAGTGGATTTTCTTATTTTCTATCACCGTACCCATACAGCATTAATATTTGGATTCTTTGTCGTTCGTTTAATTGCACCATATTTGTTTAAACTGTCAATTTTTTGACATTTAAAGCTGTCAACGGCACTATTTCGGCGCCTACTTTGATTGTAATTTGCTGATTTAATATCTTCAGATAACGCATTTTTTTTCGATTTTTTATTTATTTATCTTCTATCAACATGTGCAAAAAAAACATGCAGCCCATTTAAAATAACAATGTTGGTTGCCATAGAACGAAACAAAAAACAATGTAAACAAGCAAATATTAACGAAGAAAAGTTCTGCGACAGATGGGGAGGCGGGATGGAACATGGCGAAGATACTATTACTTTTAATTATATACAGCGTCAAATTCATAAAAATGGATGTGTCGTGTAGGGAAAATGAGGGATTAAGTAACCCTCAAAAGAATTACTGAACAGGCGAAGTGATTGAAAAAAGGCTTAGAGGATGGCAAGACTAGATAAATGGGCCAGCTGGAAGAAGACATTAAAACCTCCAATATTATCAACTAGAGAAGCAAGATACAGAACAGAACAGAATACCAGACACTTTTAGAATTGGCTTAGAGTCACAGAGGGTCGTCATGTCACTGATGATGATGCAAGATGGAACGTATAAATTAGGCAAAACCAAGAACTGAGGATGGAACCTTAACACAAAAGTTAACAGATCTTCGAACCAGTTTCTGAAGAAGGTTGCAACATGGTATCCGAAACGTCAAACCTTTTCTTAAAAGACGCACGGCAAATCCCCAAAAAGTTCCTAGTGTTAGTTTTAGTTTTGAAATTGACCATGTTTTTCAACATAAAAGTTGATTTTTCTAGAAAGCGGTCAACTTTAGAGCTCATGACATACATACCTGTTTTGTGTAGAAAACATTGACGATTCAAATGGGCGTCTCAAAACCGTACTTTTTCCAGTGGCGTAGAAGTTGGGGAGGAAAACAACCACTTTAAAAACATTATTTCTAGCCCAAAACTTAGCTTATTAGGAGTAGAATGCTTACAAACGCTGTTTTCTGTACGATAAATGGTTCCGAAGATATTCGCAAAAATGTTCTTTATTAAATGTCAACACAGTGTATCTCAAAAATGGTGCATTTCAAGTTGATAAAAACTATTTTTCAAATTTTTGGACAAGCTATCACATCTTGAAGTCCGCATATATTATGAAACAGCCAGTATAATGCTAAATTGAAAATGCTTTAGTGCATTTTTAGTGCATTTTTGACATTCAAAAGAGTAGTGTTGCAGATCACAGTTTTAGTTTTGTTTTGATTCCTGTAACCTTGACGAGGCCGAGTTACCTTTATTGATGTTCTTATGTCTAATGTATTGTCCCAAATTCATCTTGTAATTCACCATTAGTTTGAGGATCTCGATGAAATCCCTGAAACTAATCTAATATATGTATAGCCAGAAACAACGTTTGAAAATTTGGTTAAAAATTTTTAAGAATATGATGGATTAAGAGTTAGGTTATACCAACCTTGTTAGTCTGTTGTTGCAAAACACTTTTATATAGAGCATGATGTTGTGTTAACTGAAGGTGTTATAAATTCCTCGTTTTATGCTTAAGTTTAACCACACGTAATGAATTTTTTGGCCAAAGAAGAACATTTAGGAACATTTGGCATGTTTGATAATAATCTTCTAT